CCCTTTCTGGTATGCCATCGTCACGCAAACCGTCATGGTTATGGGTATTACTTGTGCTCGAAACGGCAACGTCTTGCCGTATGCCATGTCTGTCGCTTGTGAACCGTTTATCGTTATCGAGAAACGTGCGGAAAACCACCCAAGAATAGAACAAGATATGTGAACTTGTTCAGTGAAAAACCCTGAGCAGGTCAAGACTGTTGCTCATTGCACTCCAATGCTGACATTTGGTCCTCCGGTGCTAAGACTTCATTGTACAAACTAGTCTGTTCCGGCTGTCATGCCAGCCTTCCAACCTTGGTTCGTCTCCGCACATGCCATGTCTGGACTCGAATACGAAGTGGTATCATGTAGTGCCGTGCTCAAGGAACACTGATAAACCCGTGTTCATCAGTGACGCTTCGTAACAATCAGTGTCAGTTTGCCTTGTGTCACTGTCCCTTCGTGATAAACGGTGTTGTGTTTGGAATTTTGCGCTCTCAACAGACTGTTGGTATAGGACATGCCAGTGGCATATGTCGCTAGCAGTCTTGTATCTGGCGACATGTCGGTATCAGCCCCGCATCCAGATATCTGTGCCCGACTGTTTAATGATGTTCTTGCACGGTTTGAGTAACGGATATGCACTGCGATTTATACACAGGCATAAGTATTATATTGAACATCAATTGTGACCAGTTGTGGACGTGGCATATTTTACTGGCTCTCCGGTGCTCCCTTGCTGAATCGAAGAGGGCAAGGTTGTAGGTTGCTTTTGCATTGTTGCATTTAGAAGAAGCTGCCGGGGTACGCCGACTCGGCTGAAACTGGCCGCAAAGTGGTGAAATGACAACTGGTGTAGTTGATGGTCAATAAATGCAAAGTTAAATTGTTTGTCAGGTGTTGTTATCATGCTGCCTGCGTAGTTTGGCGTTAAAGAATAGATAGAAAAGAAAACGATGTTTCTGACGTTTTCAGCAGACATTTTTCATCTTAATGGTGTCATTGTTACAACTTGAGGCGTATGCGGCATAAAGGTAGAAGCCCGAGAACATCGAACGGTCGTCTATAATGGCCACCTGTTCTGACGGTAATGTATCAAAGTTAAAACTGTCGCCAAAGTTAAAACTGTCGCCAAAGAGTACCGTCATCTGAACGGGCTATTCCCATTTTTACTCCTTTTTAGCATGAAGCTTTTTTTATTATTTGAGATAAAAAGTCATCGGCGGCATTCCTGGCGACATTTTCCTGTTCTGGAATTCATAAAAGCCATTGAAGCTCCTGTGCTGATGTGGCTTGATGTAATTTAGTAAATAAACATTGAAGTAGCTCCGGTATTGCCGCGGGCGAACCATTTGCAGCACGTCCGGTTGCCAAAAGACAGCTCGCACACTCCCTGCAAATCATTTGTAGTGCGGAACAATGATTTCAAAGAGCATGCTCTGGTCGCAGTTGGTGTTTTTGTTGGCTGCGCCTCGGCTGCTCGGTTCCCGTAATTGGGCCGGAGAGCGCGCGGTGTTGATCGTTCCATCCCCGGCCGCTCTCCTGAGACCAGCAGCTGTGTCGCGGCAAAGACGAGCAGCCCGGGTAATTGGGCTGCGGCCAGTCCCTGTAGGCGTGATAACGTCAGGGCGCACTCCTGGCTGACGTCCGTATCCGGCACACCGGGCGACGTCATTAGACAGCTCTCTTGTCCGCCCGGCAACCGGCGGTTGGAGTGTTTTTCGTTATATTTTGGCGATCTTTCTGTTTTGTCACCAGCCGCTCGTCACAATTAATGGGATGTCGACATTTTGTAGCAGGAAGTGTCATATATATGTTTAGTGTCACTGTGCTCGGGCGATATGTGGCGACCGCTAGGGGTAATCTCAGTGTGGCAGGTGTGGATTCAGTCAAGTAGGGGGAGCCTTTTCGCGCCCTAATTGCACGCACAGTCGGGGCAAAAAAGATACAGCTGTTGGACTCTGACATGAGTCACGAGCGAGCAGCTCCACATGAGCGCCCTTCAGCCGTCTCGGGCGCCGAGCGGCGGGTGTCGCCTCGCCGCCGCCTCGCGCCGTTCGGTCGAGCCCGGTGGCGCACCCCGCTGCGAGCCGGCGGCAGCCAGGCTGGGCCGGGCCGGGCCGGGCCGGGCCGGGCTGGCGCCGGCGCCGGCGCGGCGCCCCACATCTTCGCTGTCCTCGGAGACCAGCGGCGTCGCCTTGTAGCCCGCCGCGGTGGCGACAGGCGCGCAGTGCGTTTGAATGGCCGGCGCGTAGGCGAGCGCACGCGGCCCCCGCCCGGTAAGGCCGCGCTTAGCCGCAAATGGGGCCGTCGGGCGGCGGCGATGTCACAGCGGCGGCGGCGGCGGCGGCGGCGGCCCACGCTCCGCGCCCCGCTGACGGCCGGCCGGCCTGCACGCCGCCGAGACGAGCCGCCCGGCGTCTCCGCCTGGCCGTGATGGAGCGCTCCCGCTGTCGCGCCGCTCGTGAGGCGCCCACGTGGTCGGGCTCAGTTCTCGCCGAAAGCCGCAGAATGCATCCGTGATCGATTGCAGGTATGGGTTTCTCCAGAAGGCCTCTTTGAGCTCTGCGCCTGCTAACACCTGCCTGCTAAAGCCTTTATCCGGCTGCCACGTAGCTCCGGGCGCTGCTGGCGGCGCCGTGCATAATTTCGCAACTCACGTCCATTTGTGGAATATAGCCCAGTCCGCAATGCGAGGCTGCCAGAATATCTCGTGAAATCAAGTCCCTGTTCAGCACCATGCTCCATTCCACATGGAGTAGAAATTACTCTCGTTGCTCGGGAGATGTGGGAGTATAAATGCCTGCTGTAGTGCGCGGAGGTGCTTTTAACGTCCAAAACTTGGAGCAGTTTCGTATGATAAATGTCAGGGAAACGATGATTGTTTTTCGCTCTGATTTCAAAATTTAAGAATCAAAATATTCGTCTCTACGATGAGTTGTGGTGCTGCCACGAATGCAGTTGAAGCCTCCTGGTATATATTCCATTCCAGAGCTCGGGTTTGACTAAAATATCGGAGCGCTGACCTCCGAAATACAGCAGACGTTCCCTGCTACGAACGTCGTTCCGCTAATAAGCCTATAGCCGCTAATAACCGACATTTCCTTCGGTCACCATTCCTGGGCGTCCACAGACCCATGCATGGACAGAGTCTGCCAGCGCTGTCGGGTCGCCCATCCGCCCCGGCCGTCTTTGGCAGTCAGCGGCGCCTGATCTGGCTCAGTTGTGGCCAGTGTGGCACCGCTGCCGCCGTCGTCGCCAGACCCGCGGACGGCTCGCGGCGTCTCGGAGGACGCGCCGCCGCTTCCGCGGGCCCGCGCCGGCCCGAGCGAGCGCCTGGCGTGCGCAGCCGGCGCCCGCCGCTCCCGCCGCCGAGCGAGGCCGGCCCGGCGGCGGCGGCGGCGGCGACGGCGACGCGCGGAGCCAATCGGTCCGGAGTGGGCGGCGGCCGGCCGGCGCCTGGTCCGCAGCGGAGGGCGCCGTGGTCCGCGTCATCGGTCAGGCGCCCCGCACCGTCTACACGACCCAGTCGCCTGCATTATTCACGGCCCAGATGAATGGACCATCAGCTGCCAGCGCGGCCTGATGAATATCGGTGCCGGCGCGCTGCGGAGCGCGGCAGCGGCCGCGTCCGTATGAACACTCTACCGCCGGCGCCGCCGCGCTGCGGAGCGCGGCGGCAGCCCCGTCTGTATGTACTACACTCAACCGCCGGCGACGGCAGCGGCGCTCGCCCCGGCGCCGAAACCAAATCAGCAGCTGCAGATCTCTCCCTCGCTCTCGCTCTGGAGTTTCTCTCGCTGTACGCGTCTCAGGATGCAGCGGTGTCCTGCGGTGCCGTGCCGTTTCTGGCTACCCCGGCACGAATATCTTCCCGTTGACCCGAGGAAGGACGCCAGACCACGTGCGGAACCCGATCAGGTCTGGTACGCTCCTGCTGCCGAATTCACGGATGCGGCCCGCTCAGGTGGCCCTTGAGAGAGGAGATGCACACTTCTGAGCGACGGACGGACCTTCGTTCAGTAGACTGGCCAACAGTTGGGGAAGTGTGGCCGACCGGTCATGTTGGGGCGGCTGGTTTCTGCCAATCGCACCGAAACCCCGCCTAATATAGGGATGAACCACTTGACGAGGCCTTGAGCGGCCGCTCGGCTGAGCGGGCTTCCGTTAATAGTTGCCAGACTGGTTCCGGCCATGCTCTGGTCGAAGGCTTAGCGTGAGCGTTTGAGTTGTCACCTCCATTGCATATCCGCCAGTGTGAGTTGCCGCAGCTGTCTGGAGTCCGTCGACCGCCGCCCGAAATTGCCCTGTCGCGACGTTTAGGCAAGTCGCTTCCGCAGATCAAATATTCTGTGAGGCGAGCGCCGCCGTTCAGAGCGGTCGTCGGCGGGCAGTCGAGCCCGGCTGCAGAGCAGTCGCCGGTGGGCAGTCGAGCGCCGCCGTTCAGGGTGGTCGCCGGCGGGCAGTCGAGCCCGGCTGTGGAGCGGTCGCCGGAGGGCAGCCGAGCCCGGCTGCAGAGCGGTCGCCGGCGGGCAGTCGGGCCCGGCTGCAGAGCGGTCGTCGGCGGGCAGTCGAGCCCGGCTGCAGAGCGGTCGCCGGCGGGCAGTCGAGCGCCGCCGTTCAGAGCGGTCGCCGGCGGGCAGTCGAGCCCGGCTACAGGGTGCGCACGTCCCCGCATGCCGCTGCTGACGTGGACGTGACCGCGTGCGGGATGACGGCGGAGGTGACGCCCGCTCAGCGCCGCGCCCGCCGGTGCCCGGCACCCGGCGACCTGGCGGAGCTGGCCCGGCAGACGGCACCGCTCTGACGCTCCTCTGTCTGACGCCCCTCGGACGTCACTCCGACACTGCTTTGACGCCCCTCCGACGCCTCTGACGCCGCTCCATCGCACCTATGACGCCCCTCTGACGTCGCTTCGACGCTGCTTTGACGTTCCCCTAACGTCCCTCTGGCGCCGCCTGAACGCACCTCTGACACCCCTCTGATGCCCCACTGACGCCGCTCTGTCTTTGTTGCAGAGGGGTCGTGTTGGCCAGATGGTGGTGCGGCCCCACCCGGTGCGGGTAAGTGGAAGGCGCAGCTGGCCACCGTAGAGGCGAGGCCGGCCAGCGCCTGTCGTGGTGCTGGTCACCAGACCTGCTTCCTGCCACCTCGCTGCCGACCCCTTACCTTCAATAGCTGTGAACGGTAGCAATGTCGCGGTTGACAATGGAGAAGCCTGTGCCTAAACCGCCCTGGGCACAACTTACCGTACAGTCGTTGTCAAGAGCATGCTGTCAGGCGCGCTGCTTAGCTGAGAATACCCCAGATTTATCGTCGTATTTATCGTTACTCAGATTTGTGAGGTAATCAGCTTGTCTAAGAGCTTGAGCCTTAAGGGCTGGCTGGTAACGCTATGGAGTCCTGCTGTTGTCATCCGAACTGCGTTTGTCAGTAAAAACGCAGAAATGCGTACCTCACAAAAAATACGTACCCACCGTACAGAAATACGGCGGGTTCAGAGAACTGTCGGTGCCCCATTTACCCCTTTATTACGCCAGAAGATGTCTATTTATTCAACATTCTTGATAATCTGTAACACCCGTGTTGTGGATGGTGTCGATGCAGTTTGAATACCAATATGCGTCGTGCCATCGCTCACATGCATCAGGAGTTCATAGAGCGCACTGGCACCTGGAATACCAAACGATGGGTCGCAAATTACAATTGCTAAAAGAAGGCAGACGGTCCGTGCCGGTTGGTGCTGGCTGGCTGGGCGGGCGGGCTGCTGCTGTGGTCCGACTGGCTGCCACAGTGATGCCTACGGGCCAGCGCTGACCGTGACCACACCCACGGTGGCGGTCTCACCGGCGCGAGCCCGTGCCGTCCGCCGGCCGCCCGGACCGGCCGGCCAGCGCTGACCGTGACCACACCCACGGTGGCGGTCTCACCGGCGCGAGCCCGTGCCGTCCGCCGTCCGCCCGGGCCGGCCGGCCAGCGCTGACCGTGACCACACCCACGGTGGCGGTCTCACCGGCGCGAGCCCGTGCCGTCCGCCCGGGCCGGCCGGCCAGCGCTGACCGTGACCACACCCACGGTGGCCGTCTCACCGGCACGAGCCCGTGCCGTCCGCCGTCCGCCCGGGCCGGCCAGCCAGCGCTGACCGTGACCACACCCACGGTGGCGGTCTCACCGGCGCGAGCCCGTGCCGTCCGCCGGCCGCCCGGGCCGGCCGTGAATGCGTCGAAATGCCACCGCCCCGCCCCTATCAGCGGCCGCCGCTCTGGGCGGTAGCTCGGCCGTCGGCGGGGGTCGCCGGCGTCCGCGTGTGCCCGGTGCGCGGGCCGTGGACAGCGGAGTGTGCCGCTCTCCCGGCGCCGCCCAGCCTTGCCACGGGCCCGGCCTGCCAAACGGGGACGGCCGCGGGCTGGCAGCGGCACGAGCCGTCGCCTCAGCGTCGCGCGCCGATGCTCCGCGCGTAGCGGCCTGGCGCTAGGCGTCAGGACGTCCTGGACAGTGGGCGCTGCTTTGCTGGGAGGCAAAAAAATGTGCGGCACCTCATCCAAAGTTGTGGTGTTGTCATTGGCATGTCCGGTACGAGCATTCCCGGCAGCGCTCGTACCGCGTGACCCTGCTCTGCTCGGGACGACAGCGAGCGAAATTCGAGGAACGGTTAGGGTTTTACGGAACGCTGGAGACGAGGTGTTTGCAACCACGCTAGTTAATCGTGCGGATAATAAAATCATCGACGAGCACGAATAACTGTCCCGTCTGCACCAGACAGCGGGTTCACAGCCAATCGCGCGACGCTGTGACATGTGACGCCGAGGCCCAGGATGTGATAAATCTGCTAAGCGAGCAGGACGATATGGGCGGCAGCTCAGACGCGCTGTGCATCAGGTCCATCGTCAGTACTTTGTCACGAGCGGGACAGCTGACGGCGAACACCATTGTTTGAGGCCGCTCTTCATTCGCGGTGCAAACAGACAGGCGCTAGGGGGGCCAGTTAGCCAACAGTTCACGAGGTAGAGCAGCGTACTGCGATGACCAGGTGACCAAAGGACCAGCTGCTGGCGCCGGTGTCTCGTGCCCTGTCGCCGGCGTGGAGGTGGCCGCTGCTGGTGGTTTCCTTCCAGTTGCGCTGCTCCAAGGAGAGGAGGGGGATTGGGGCAGCTGCGGCGCGTGGCTGTGTGGCGCGCTGGGGTTGTGCCCCAGCTGGCTGGGCTCAGGAAGGTCTGCCCTGTACCGGTGCGCCGCCGGCGTGTGGCTGTGTGGCGCGCCGGAGGTGTGCCCCAGCTGGCTGGGCTCAGGAGTCCGCACTGTGCCGGTGCGCCGCCGCCGGCGCGTGGCTGTGTGGCGCGCCGGAGGTGTGCCCCAGCTGGCTGGGCTCAGGAGTCCGCACTGTACCGGTGCGCCGCCGCCGGCGCGTGGCTGTGTGGCGCGCCGGAGGTGTGCCCCAGCTGGCTGGGCTCTGGAGTTCGCACTGTACCGGTGCGCCGCCGCCGGCGCGTGGCTGTGTGGCGCGCCGGAGGTGTGCCCCAGCTGGCTGGGCTCAGGAGTCCGCACTGTGCCGGTGCGCCGCCGCCGGCGCGTGGCTGTGTGGCGCGCCGGAGGTGTGCCCCAGCTGGCTGGGCTCTGGAGTTCGCACTGTACCGGTGCGCCGCCGCCGGCGCGTGGCTGTGTGGCGCGCCGGAGGTGTGCCCCAGGTGGCTGGGCTCAGGAGTCCGCACTGTACCGGTGCGCTTCCGGCAGGGTGGCGAACGCGCAATCCGATGATCACACGGCAGGGGAGAGCGGCGGGAACGGCGGCGGTGGCGCGGCCCGGCTTGTACGGCAGACCAGCATTCGTGGCGTGCTCCCATAGCGAAGGGCACGTTATCGGGCCCAAGCGGTGTGCCATTGCATTACCGTCTTGACGGCGCCCGTAAAAGCTTTTTAATGCAGTATTGTTTTCTGGAAACGTCAGTCATGGCGTAGTCAGTAATATTTCTTGGGTGCAAAACCATTTCTGGGATGAACTAGCTTTTCTGGAAATGGATACAATAATACAATCAAAAACATGTCAATTACTATGATATCCGTACGATAACAGAGTTCATGCTGTTTCATAAAGGTCAACCGTAGACCGCATATGCCTGCCACACACAATGTAGGTGTCTGCCATTTAATGTTGCACGGGAAACTGGAGAGTGCCGAAGTGCATGGCATAACATTTGTTAACACTAATCCGAGCAACGCCTTGCCCGCTGGACCACAGATATGAACCATCCAGGGTTTATCGGCATTACTGATCCGTGGTGCTCCTCAATCGTGGCGCGGTTCTTCGTCCAGTTACATAAGGCGCCTGCTCGCAGTCATGAAAGAGACATCCTCTTAGTCCGACGAAGGCCTTTGCCTTTCCGCTTTATGACCATATCCATCATGACGAGGGGGCCCTGTCGCACGGCGGACCTCAGCCTTCCAAGACTGCTGCAGCGCAGTGCAGGGCCTTTTTGGTCATGACGGGGCCCTCCGGCCTTGTCTTGTCACTTCATCACACAAGATCGTTAAATTATTGGGATCTCGGTTCAGCGGGCGGAACGGGTCTTTTATGTTAGGTGTTTTCGTATAATACGTAATTGCAATGATCGGTAAGCCCCAACAAAGCAGAGGCAGAGGCCCCTGGCTGGCCCTGAAGTGAGACGGGACGAGAGGGTCCTGCCGGAGATCCTGCAGACGAATTGCCAGGCCGGACCCGACTCGGAACAGTACTGTTGGATCCGCTCGCGCCAGCAACACCGCCTGTCATTAACCCGTCTGACTTAGCAATGGGTCAGGCTAAAAGTCGTCGACAAAATTCGCAAGTTTCTCTTTTCCGCCTTTCCTGTGTCGCCTCCATTGTCAGTTAGGCACATGCATGTTCTTTATTTGGTGTTTCGCACCTGCCCTGCCTTGTTTTAAGGTAACCGTTTGTTACAATGCCACATTATTGGGATCTGGCCTTTTTCACGACAGGGTTTCTCCTAGGAAATCAGTGGGGCCTCTGTCGGAACAGGGCCTCCCCAAATTATCCATGTCGCTAACCCATCTACTGTACAGGTTGGGGCCTCCTCTCGGCCATTGCAAGGCTCCAGCAAGGCCTTGGCCATACCAGATGCTGGCTGTCAACCACACGAGGTTTTGAGCCTCTTCCCATTCATGATAGCAACGCCATTCCGGACCATAGCAGATCCCTCATTGCCAAGGTTTCCCATCGATCACCACATTACGTTATTGTTTACGGGAGGGCCTTTTGACTACGTCATTACCTCCGGCAGCGCACAGCGTCAGCTGACCTGCACATGTATGGCTTTTGAGGAGCCTGCTGTAATTTCATCGTGGGCAAAAGAGGAGGGCCTGGGTGAGGGGTGAGGAGGGCCTGGGTTCCAGCAGTGTGCCTGGATCCAACCAGCTGCTTGTCCGTCCTCCATCAAGTTCAGGTCCCCTTGTTATGCATTCTGGACAAGGAAATGTGATGCATATCAAGCGGGATAATTTCGAAGTAAACGCGCTTCGCGTCGTAGGAAGTTGCTGGTGGCGGCGCCGACGGCGGAAACGAAGCCGTGAATAAATGCGGGCCGTGACGTCGACGGCCGCCACCACGCACGGATCTCCACGCGGTAAATCGCGCGCTCCTGGTGTATACGATCCCCGCCGCCACCACGCACGGATCTCCACGCGCCGTAAATCGCGCGCTCCTGGTGTATACGATCCCCGCCGCCACCACGCACGGATCTCCACGCGCCGTAAATCGCGCGCTCCTGGTGTATACGATCCCCGCCGCCGGGGCGTTCGCGTTGGCCCGTGTGCACCGTGTCCGCCGTCGTGCGCGTCCTGTGGCCGACGCGTGCACTGCCTGGTGTGGCCCGCCGCGAGCCGACGCCCGCTCTGCCGGACAGGTGCTGCTGTGGTTCAGCCGGTCGGACAGCCGCAGCAAGATCCTGTGTCGGGCATGCACGCGGCTGCAGCTCAACTACGACGCCGTCTACAGTCACGAGAAGGCGCTGGACGTCTACAACACGGCCAGCCCGCAGCTGGTCATCATCGACCAGCGGAACAGCAAGCACGTGCCGGGGGCGCCGGCCCTGTGAGTAGCACGCGCCGCGGGCCCGCCGCCGGGTGGCCGGCCCGCTCGCGCCGGGCCCGCCGTCTCGCGGCGGTGGTTGGCGCGCCGCCCGCCTGCCGCGAGCGGCCGCGCGCCCGCCCGATTGCCGCCGGTGCCGGACTGTCGCGGAGCTAACGTGGCGCGCAGCTGGTGGCGTCGGCGTGCGTGTTTGCCTGCGGTTTGGCCGGCGATCCGGTGTTGTGTGGTGTCCGCTGCGGTGATGTGGTGATGGCGACCGATCGTCCGTCGCCGTACACATCGGCTTGCGGTCCGTGCCCGGGTCTAGAGGGGGGGGGGGGGGGGGGGGGGGCACCAGCCGAGGCCAGGACAGGCCCCGCCTGGGTGGTGGTGCCGCTGGTGGGTCTCTCTTCCAGACGGGTGTGGGGTCTGACCATGGTCGGATTGGGCGTGGATTGAGCCGCCTCGCGCAGCTGGTGACGTGTGCTCAGTCTGGGTAACGTGCTTTGCATTATGAGTTGAAAGTTCTTATGTCGAATTAACGACCTTCACTTTGCCAGGAGGTACTGGTTAAACGACGTCGTAATGCTGACTAACGATTATATTGACGGTACTCAATATTTCGAGATGAGCTCATCCTCAAGACCCCAGGAGTAATGTGTTATAGTGCTCGTCAGTGATGGCGTTGGCGTGCTTTGCGACATGCACATGGTGCCATGCTGTCAGTCTGAGTGGCGTGATCTTCCGCACGTATCTGGTGCTGTTTGGTCGATTGAGTGGCGTGACGTGCCTCGCGCATCTGTTGCTGTTTGCTCACTCTGAGCGGCGTGATCTACCCATACACCTGGTGTCGTGTGATCAGTCCGAGCCGCGTGAGCTGCCGTGGCCGCAGTCGGTCGGAGCAGCCGTGGCCGTCAGCTCTGGCAGCTCCAGCCGGGCAGCGTCTCGCCCCTTGCCACGTGACTACATAACGTGTGAATGCTCTGTCGCCGCTGCTGGGACCGCCGTCGCATCGATTATGATGCCGCCCGGTATCTGGCTCCATGTCACCCGGGCTTCTACGCCGACCCGACGCCGGGAACCGCCGCGTGGAGCGGCGCTGCGTGTGCCGCCCGGCGCGCCGCCACCACTAATGCAGGGGCTGGGATGTGCACCTCCCTTGAGCCCGATCAGACTTACACAAACCGCAGAATAGTACCGGTTTTGTTCATTCTGATCAATGGGCGTCTCTGTGTCCCACTGCCTTGCGCTGTTGAAATGTCACGATTTATCAAGCTTATGCTTTCGTGCTGTGTGATTTCCTGTACCGCGGGGTGTTTGATCCATGACTGTGCTGGAGAACAGACAGATCATTTGTCCACCGGGAAGCTTGAGTGATCTTTCCGCCGCGCCTAACTCCAGGCTCTGCGCAGATATAACCTGGCATGGATACATGTAATTTTGGCTGATGTCATAGCCCTCAGTTTGTAGCGCAATCAGGTTTGGGTGGCATTTGTGCCATGGGGTTTTCATGGTTTTCTAATTTTTTCTTGATTTTAGGTATGCTTACGTTGCTGATGAAGCGTAGGTGCGCGTTCGTGCTAGATGCATGGGATCGACTGCGGCAACTTTTGTGTTCCTCAAACTTCTGCCTCTCCTGGCCATGTTTCGACACCTACGCTCCCAGCGTTCCTCAAACACCTCCCGCTCCTGGCCATGTTTCGACACCAGCGCCTCCAGCGTTCCTCAAACACCTCCCGCTCCTGGCCATGTTTCGACACCAGCGCCTCCAGCGGCCAGCAGTGAGTTAGCCCGCTGACGTCGGTGCTTCTTTCAGACAGCTGCGGACCTGCAACCCGAACTGTTACGCTGTTATGGTAGCGCTGGTTAGCAAAAGGTGAGTGCCACCTCGCGGCGGCGGCAGGAGCGCTACGACGGAGGTGACGATCCGGGTTTTGCCGCAGCTGTTTGCCGGGGCTGAGATCGGTGGTTCGAGGTCGTTCTGGCACGTGCTGCCCTCCGGGGGATCGTGTGGCCGGCGCCCCACCGCGCTCATTCACAACCATGCTTCCCACGCTGCGGGAGGGGGAAGGGCTGTATTTCACGTGTCCACAGCCACTGCAGCCACAGCCACGGATCCCACGCCGTCTGCAGCGTGCCACGGACCATTCGAACCCTTGCCCAGTCGTGAGCGCGTCGGCGCTCGGACTGTGGCCGTGGTGCTCTTTGACATGAACTCAGGCGAAAGTTCTGATTTCACGAGAAGCACGAGGGACCTGTGCGTTGCACGTCGGGCCGTCCGTCCCACTTATCAGCGGCCGTCGGACTGACGCCGCATCGGCATGTGACGGCACGCACCGGCGGCGCAGATCCTGGTCCGCCCGGCTCCACTGTTGCCCAGCGCGTGTTCCGCCATCGGGGTGTTCACCGGATCGCGTGCCCAGCGCAGGGGCCGCCGGCTCACGCGGATAGGCGGGTCATCGTGGTGGTGTGTGGAAGTGCCACGCTGGCGGAAGCGACGTGCTCTGTTGCGCCTACTGGACCTAGGGCCCTCTGTTTCCAGCTTTATCGCCAAGGACGGGGCGGCCACATCCATCCTGCAAAAAGGCTTCAATCGGGTAAGTGCGCCGGCACGATGGCCACCTGGCACCAGCTGGAGGCTGGCCAGCGGGCCCGTCCAGACGGATGGCCCGTCCCGGCGTCGTCGCGTGCGGCTGGCCGCGTGCGAGAGAGGTCGCGGGTGGGCCGACCGGGCAGCGATGGTCCGGACCGTAAGCTGCGAGGTCTTGATCGGAGAGTCGGGCTTCTGTGCGCTGTCGTTCGCACTGCGACCCCACGCAGGCTTTTTCATTGGATTGTTTAAGCTTTTCTGGAGTTTTTCCATTGCACTGCTGGAAGAAATCGGAGCGCACGCTGCGTCGAGAGCGAATTTCGCGTCGCTGGCTCCCGGCGAGATTTGACGCGCTGTTCCGCGCATTTAATGAACACTTCAAGCCGTAAAGTGTGTTGTAATAGGGCGGACTGGAAACTTGATTTCCTTCATTCACATATGTGCCATTGTCGGTATGAACTAACAGATTCTCTCCCCGTGAAAGAGCACGGGGGAGCACGAGTTAAGCACTCCTTAAGCACGAGTCCCCGACGTGGCCGGCGGCGGCGTGCTGGCCGGCCCGAACGGTCGGCGCCGTGCGGAGCAGGCGAGATTTGCCGGGACGTGCGCGCGGCCGGACGCCGGGGCGGCCGCTCCGTCGCCTCCTGCCCGTGCCACGTATTGATTCGGCCGGCGGTCACGCGGCGGGCCGCCGGCCGGCTCGTGCAATAAGCCGCCGCCGTCGCGTCTGAATGGCCGCCGCCGGTGAGCGGTCGGCACCTGCCGTGGGCAGCCGCGCGTGTCCCGCCGCCCGGCCCTCCCCGCCCCGCCCCGCTCCGCCCCGCCGTCCGCCGCCGACGGTGCGCCTGCCCGCCCGCCCGGCACCGCCGCCACTGGTGATGACGGCCGAGGTGGGCCGTGGCGCCCGCGGCCGCGGCGGCAGGCGCAATGAACGCCGTGCGTCCGTGCTGGCAGTGGCTGGTGGAGAGCACGAACGAGCTGCAGTGCATGAACGAGCTGCAGCTGCTGGCCAAGAGCGACGTGGAGCTGCAGTCGCGACTGCACGCCACCGACGCGCTCTTCGTGGCGCTCAACGAATCGCGCGATATCGTCGAGATCACCGACCACGAGTACAATGTCCTGGTGAGCGGCGTCGAGCACGAGCGTCGAGCACCGAGCGTCGAGCACGACGGGGCGCCGCGCTGAGGGATTACACCGGAGATTGGCTGTGACGCTGAACACGGGCTCATTAACACCACGCAGTGGCCCAATGAGATCCCCACTTGGGATAGTGTTAATCGATAATGGGTCCCTGTGGAAGCACTGAGTGTGCCGTGTATCAAGAGTGCTCGGCGAGGCCTTCGATGGCTGTACATACAGGACGAATCATGGCACTGAATGCATGAATGCCGATGCCGATGCCGAATGCCGACTGATGGTGGCCGATGCGGCACAGAACACAGATGGTGACCGATGCCGGCGTGATCTGGGTGCTCGGTCCGCCGTCGCTGGGCTTGTTACGCTTGGCCCTTGACGCTTGACTCCTGACACGTGGAGTTTGACCCCTGAAGCCTGACGTATGACACCTGACCCCTGACAGCCGGTGTTTAAATGATGACAAATGGTGTGGGACTCCTGAACCTGACGTTTTACTCCTGGCACATGGTGTTGGATTTCCGACGTTTGACTCCGACTCCGGACACCAGACCCCTGACTCGGAATGCGTGACATTTGACCCCCGGCTGCTGACTGTTCACTCCTCATACACGATGGGTGCCAGCAGCTGAAGCGCCGGTAACCGCCGTCGTCGGCGTGCCGCGCGTGACGTGGCGCGGGGCCCACTGACGCCGGCGACCTTGCCCGCAGTACGTGAACCGGACGTGCGTGGACGCGCTGGGCCTGAGCCGTGACGAGATGGTGGGCCACAACCTGCTCAAGGTGCACCAGCTGGAGGTGACGCGGCCCGAGCAGGCCGAGCAGATCGTCACGCAGCTGGCCAAGGGCCGCGAGTACGACGGCCACTTCATGTGCCGGCGTCGCAACGGCGATAACCTGCTGCTGCCCTGCCGCGCCTTCCCCGTCTCGGCCAACAGCCGGTAGGTGGTCTGCGGCGCCGGCCTCGCCGCTGACGTGTGTGTGGGGCGGGCGCCTCGCGGCTGAGGCTGCTGCTTACGGAGGGCGTGGGGGCGCCGTGGGTGTCGCGGTCTGCGTGACGAGTGCGGTGCGTGGTGCTGTGGTTCGGAGAGGGGGACGCACCCTCCTGCCGGGCCGTGACCGCCGCCCGCTCCGCCAGGTCGGTCGACCACCACGTGTTCGTCAAGGAGTGTCCGGCGTTCGTGCTGGACCGGCCGCCGCCCATCTCGCGGATCCGCACGCGCGCCAGCGTGCGCTCGCTGCGCAAGCCCTCGTTCGACCTGCGCACCACCAGCAACGGTAACGGGCGACGGCGGGCGGCCGCGCGCGCAGCCGCACCGAAGGCCGCGGCCCCTCGGTATCAGCCAAGTAGCCGGCGTGGGCGGAGCGCACTCGTTTGTGAGGAGTCGGCGCAAATGGTGTGCGGCTGATAAGGCGCCGCTGAATGGCCTGCGCTGTTGACATCGGCCGACTCGGACGCAGAGATTGGTGTTCTCGCTTCACGCCCCGATCGCTCGATAGGCGCCGGTTCGGTTCGGGCTTTGTCGTGGTTTTTGTGTCGGGCAGAGGTTTGAGCCACTCGGCGCCGGAAAAGTGGGTTGTCCGTCGGCAAAGTTGGCTGTAACATAGAGCCGCATCTGAGTGCTGTCAGCTATAAATCGGGGCGCTGAGAGACACTGAGTCATGGTCCGACTCTGGGCCGCCGGGAGTTATCAGGCTCGGCATGCCAATGGTGCTCCCTGTTCCGTTTAACAACTTTGCTAAGCGGTGGCGCAGATTGCTTGAGTCCGGACGGGCTGCCTTTGAACACCAGCACGCTAAGTGATTGCGTCATGCTGTGACGTGTTTTGTCATCCGGCACGTTGCGGGCCGTGCATGCTCGCTCAGCGGTGTTGGATGGAAGTTAAGCGGCATTCAGCTGCAAAACGCGACGTATTTTACATTGACGGAAAATCTTGTCGCGTGGTCAGAGCGCTATTTTCAACAGATAATCTTGACAGCGCTGAGTGGCGACAGAGATGTATTCGTGTTATCCCGGCGTCGCTGGACCGCGGACGCGGACCCGTCCGGCGGTTCGGCCGCACCCCGCAGACGGATTTTGTTACGGCACGTGTTCCTCCCTCGAAGCGTTTTAAGAGAATCGCCCTGTCGATATTGAATGGCGCGATCGTGAGTGACGATTACGGCTCTCAAATGATTAGGCGTTAGCTGTGCCCTTTCGTGTATGTGCATGAATGGTTGTATTGTTTATCTGTAACCTTTGCATTGCTCAAATCCGTTATACCTCACAAACCTCGCGTCACTGTTCCATTAAAATTGCATGCTCTCGATCTGTTGTCAAACCAAACGAGCTAACATTGTTTCTGGATGTGTTGTATCTTAAAGCTGGCACCTCTCTGTGTGTGGCGCGTCTTGAGCACGTCATTGTCAAGGCGACGGTGGTATACGCGTATTAACATACTTCTCCGACCGCGTTCTCGCCCCACGCGCGTTCGCCCTGATCGGCACCTCGCCTCCACAAATGCGTTAACGGTTGCGTGTTGGTGTCGCTAACCGCTTGCGGGCATGGTTGTGGGCCGGTCCGTCCAGATCGGCCGGCCGGCCGCCGGTCGACGCTGGGCGGGCCGGGCGCGCTTCTCCTCACCGCCGCCTCTCTCTGCACGCGCCTGTCTCTGTGGCGGCCAGTGGCGGAGCTAGAGCGGCTGCTGGCGGTGCCGGCCGGCGGCGGCGGCGGCGGCGGCGGTGGCGGCTGCGGTGGAGGCGACGGCCGCGAGCGGGGCGGCAGCCTCGGCCTGGTCGGCCGGTTTGGCGTTCGTCACCCCTCAGGTAGAGACCAGCGCGCCGCGCCGCGAGCCGCGAGCCGCGAGCCGCCCCCAGCGCCGACCTACGCGGCCCGCCCGACGGCCGGCTGCCGGTGACAGCGCTAACCAGGCATGAACGCAGAGGCGGCTGCTGCGTGTTCGATGTGACCGCCCGCTTTCCTGCACCCACGTCTCCTGTGGAGCTGCCGAGCGGTCTGGCTGGCACACCGATCTCTGCCGACATTGATTCGGGCCGGGACAGGATGCGAAGTGGACGAGGCGAGGCAAGAGTCCACCCCGGCCCGTCTCAGCCTATCCGCAGAGGTTGCTCAGTACAGGCTCCCGTTGTCACACCGTTTGCTAGAACCCTGTGTATGGGACGCCAGTTCCTGATCCTGCTATATGCTGGTGGTCACCGTAAGATACACTGGCCTGGCTGATGGAGTAGTTTCCTGACAAGCATCCAACTTCATGTAAAGAAGCTGCAGGTTAAGCCACGTGGAAATCACATAAAGCATAAACCTCGGCCCGATTTTACTTATGGTTTTGAGTGAATTCATTGATGCATGGCACAATCGACGCCGGCTCATATGTTGGCACGGTACGGATGTCGGTGTGATTCAAACTCAATTGTGGGTTGCAATCGCGCAGGATTAAATTGGCTGCAAGTTGCATTGAACGACGCTATGTCTCCCCATTTGTTAATCAAGTAAAAGGAAGCACTGCGAACGTCGTACCTTGTTTCGTGGAACACCGGTAACTACGCTGGTCATTGATACCATTCAGGAGCATGGCGCCATCTGGATTCGAACCCGGACCCTCCACTTGGGAACTCGAGCTGTCCGCCATGACGTTCCACCTGCACCGCCGAACCTCTGGCAGCGAACCGTCTCCACCTCCTGTCCCCGCCACCGTCTGCCGTTACACCGTTCCTCCCCATCCCGCCGCGTCCCAGACCTGCCATGGTTTATTGATTTGCTTATTTGACTTTCAGATACTTCCGCGGGGAATTTAGCTATTAAGGCTCCTGTTCATTTGAGTGCCAGCGACCTATAGATCCCTCGGCAAGGCCATTTCTTCTTGGGATGCCGGTGGATTGTGTGATACTCATCTGGACGGTTTTCATAACGTCATAACCTGTCACCATAACCTGCAGGCGACTGCCGCCACTCCCCGTCACTCATTTTCCACCGCTCCCACCACCCTGCGCGTTTTCTGCAACTGTGTTCTCGCTGTGTTATCAGTCAGCACCCGTTCCCGTCTCGCTCCCTGGCAGTGTTATCGGCCAGCGCCCGTTCCCGCCCCGCTCTCTGGCAGTGTTATCGGCCAGCACCTGTTCCCGCCCCGCTCTCTGAAAGTGTTGTCGGCCAGTACCCGTTCCCGCCCCGCTCTCTGAAAGTGTTGTCGGCCAGTACCCGTTCCCGCCCCGCTCCTTGACAGTGTTGTTGGCCAGTACCCGTTCCCGCCCCGCTCCCTGACAGTGTTGTTGGCCAGTACCCGTTCCCGCCCCGCTCCCTGACAGTGTTGTTGGCCAGTACCCGTTCCCGCCCCGCTCTCTGACAGTGTTGTCGGTCAGCACCCGTTCCCGCCCCGCTCCCTGGCAGTGTTGTGGGTCAGCACCCGTTCCCGCCCCGCTCCCTGACAGTGTTGTCGGTCAGCACCCGTTCCCGCCCCGCTCTCTGACAGTGTTGTCGGTCAGCACCCGTTCCCGCCCCGCTCCCTGACAGTTTTGTCGGTCAGCGCTCGTTCCCGCCCCGCTCCCTGGCAGTGTTGTGGGTCAGCACCCGTTCCCGCCCCGCTCCCTGGCAGTGTTGTGGGTCAGGACCCGTTCCCGCCCCGCTCCCCGACAGTGTTGTCGGTCAGCACCCGTTCCCGCCGCGCTCTTCCCCGCTCCCCGCCTCTGGCCGTCACGCCCGGCCGTGCTCCGCGCCCCGTGAGCTTCCGTGAGCCCCGCGAGACCCGTGAGACCCGTGAGACCCTGTGAGCCCCTGTGAGTCCTGTGAACCTCCGTGAGCCCCTTTGGGGCCCCGTGAGGCCCCGTGAGGCCCCGTAAGCCCCGTGAGTGCACGGCGGACGGCATCTGACCGTCGGACCCGCCCCAGCAGGCTCGCACGTGGTGGTGCGGCGAGCCAGCCTGGCCAAGGCGCCCACCGGCATCGAGGCGCCCATCACCAAGGTGATCGGCATCATCCTGTCGGCGCAGCAGGCGGCGCCCATGTACGTGGCCCAGGCGCTCGAGAAGGTGAGGCACCGGGCGGCGTCGGGCCGGCACCGTGGCCGCCGGCGAGCTGGCCCTCTCCCCACGTCTCACAGCGGGCGTCGGCGGGGGTCGTCGCCGTTGGCGCGCCTTCAGAGATGGAATGTGGCGAAACGGCGGCTGGTGGTCGCTCCTGATCCCAGCCACTTAAACGCCGGTCGTTTGAGGATTGCTAGATTGGGTAGGGCTATGCCGAGTCCTATCCCGTCGCCGGTCGTACCGTGTGATAAATGCAGGGGCCAGTGCAGAGGGTGCAACAGGAGATAGATCCTCTGAGATAGGAGATAGATCCTCAACAACAGGAGATAGATCCTCTGCCGTGCTGGCACGGCGAGGTGGGCTGCTATTTCAGTCCACTGTTGTGTGTGACCATATAAGTACGGTGTATTAGTGTGATTGGAGAAGATTGATGGTTGTGAGCTAGTGTTATGATGCCCAATATTTGGTGTCAGGAAATAACTGCTTGTTTTGGTCGATAAGTCACAGATGGCAGAAGCCTTTTTACTGAATGGCTGCAACCCTGTTGCATCCATGCAGCGTATGGCACACAAATGCTCTATGAGAGTCGCTCCAGGCGTGACTAGCCGCGTCACGATGAATGCGTCTTTGAAGCCGATGGTATTCTCGTCGTAAAGTCGACGGACTGTGAATTTCTCGACCAGGGATCTCACAAGTACTCGATGATGGCACGAACCTGATGACGACTCGATGACGACGATGACGCGGCCTGTCCGTCAGGGTCTGGAGATTCTGAAGTCGACCGAGCTGTACTCGCCGCAGCTGAACGTGCCCGGCAGGGACTCGGTGGTTGCCAAGCTGCAGGACCCCGTTACCAACGATCTGCTGGGTGCCCTGCTCTCGGTGAGCTCGCCGACCGTGCCGGACTGCTGATGACGTGCCCAGCTGCCGGCCGCCCCGCCGCGCTCGTAACCGGCCGCGCCGCCGAGGCCGCTCATTGCGCTTTCAGTGGCGGCCCCGGAGAGCCGCGCTGCTTTTGATTGCAGTGGCGTCGGGGTGGGGCGGCGGGACTCACAGAGTCGTGAGGCGGCGTCGTGGGCGGCCGGCGGGGAGTGGTGCGGCCCGCGGCCGCGGCGCCCCCTCCCCCCCCCCCTCCGTCCCAGCTATGCATCACCCTTGGGGAGTCGGCGCGTCCAGCGTCGGCCGGTGGGCTGTTCACGTGTGGTGTGACCAGTACCACCGGGACCGTTCCAGCACTGCGTAACCCCGCCCCGGTACCCTGTTATCCCCCATTAGCGTCGTGAGTCCCCACCTGTCTGTGCTGCGAATCCGTCTGCCCGCTCCATTTGCCCCTGAAACAGATGGGACATCTGTCGATGGTGTGACGCCATCCTTTCCATCGCGTGAGCCGTCTGCCGGCGGCGTGACCCGTCCACCAGCGGCGCGACCCCGTGCGTCCACCGCGTGACCCGGGGCCCCTCGCCTCGACAGCACGGCCCGTCGCCGTCGTCGGAGTCGACGGTGGCGCGCCGACTTTCGGACGGCGCCGGGCGGATGCACCGGCACAGTCGGCCCTCGCTGCCCAACATCCAGACCAACTCGACGGCCATTTGCAGCCTGCTGGAGCGAGACATGAACTGGAACTTCGATATCTTCCAGCTGGAGCGGATCACCAACAAACGGTAGGTGGCGCCACCTGTTCTGCCTGTCGCGGGGCTGGGGAACGCCAGCCGAGCAGGCGACCGGTCAGGGGACGCCACTGGCGCCGCCTTTATCGCCCGCTACTGTAACTGTGTGTCGGCACTTGAGGACTCGTTGATCATAGTAAACAGTGGATGCGCTTAAGTGTCCTGGACGTGCTAGTGAGCGTTGAAAAAGTGCTGCGGATGGATGGCAAAACTTACTATTTTCGGTCTATTGTGTAGATCGACGTGCCTTCTCTGCATTTTAAACCATTATTCGGAACCATTTTTTATGAAACGATTTTTCTTCAGTAAGGACTCGCACTGATAACGCGTGGTTTCTTGCTCGGACGGCCTTATGCGTGGGCCGTCGTGCCTCGTGCGCCACACATCTCCGTGCGTGTGTGCGTGCGTGCGTGCGCGCTTGCGTGAGTGACCGCGCGTGACCGGGGCGGCCTGACGCTTCCCTCGGCCACGCCACTCCAGGCCACTGATCTGGATGGGCATGGACGTATTCCTCAAGTTCGACGTACCTAGCACGCTCGGCGTCGACATCGGAACCGTCGAGAACTGGCTCAACTTGATCGGTGAGTCGACCGCCGCCAGCCAGCGCGCCGCGTGGTGGCCGGCGCGCCCGCATGTGCCGCACTTACGGCATATGTGCCGCACTTATGGCACAGCCGTGCCTCAGCTCGCGAGCTGGAGGGAACGGCACGGAAGTGTTCGATGGAGGGAGAAAACGACAGTGGGCGACGCCGTGCCGATGTGGTGCCGCTGCACGGCCGGCACGGCCGGCGGGCTCGGCTACCGCGCCCGGGCACGTGCCGGCGCCGCGACCCTGGCCCCGGCCCCGTCCACCCGAGCTGACCGGTCGGCCGTGTCCCGACAGAGGCCAACTACCACTCGCAGAACTCGTACCACAACTCTACGCACGCCTGCGACGTGCTGCAGTGCACGGCCTACTTCCTGGAGCGTGAGCGGCTGAAGAGCGTGTTCGACCCGGTGGACGAGGCCATCTGCCTGATCGCCTCGGCCGTGCATGATGTCGACCACCCGGGAAAGAACAGGTGAGGGCTGGCGGCGGCGACGAGCACGGCCGAACACGCGGCTGCGGGGAGTGACCGGGGGTGGGGAGGGGTGTGATTGGGGCGTCTGGCGGTGTTACTTGCTTAATTAACATGATTAGTAGTTTTGTCATCCTCAAAGCCTGACATGGTATGATTGTATAGAACAGTCTTAGCCATAAAGAGAATGTCATCTGTGTATAGCGAGCTGTCCCCTCCAACGGGTGCTGCAATAGTGGCTGCACTTGCATGGCTTAGTGCCGCAATAGTGGCTGTAAGTGTATGCCGGTTGTAGTGTCGAAAGCCAAAACATGATCAGCACTGCGGTTGTAATCCGCTCTGCAGCGGCCGTGTATGTGGCACTCCAAAGGCCAACACCGGCGCCTCCCTATAGTGCACTATGACGCCAGCCGTCGCCAGCACGGTGTCAAGTCTGTACCACTGCGGCACCGGCGCGTCTGAACACGGCCTGGGGCGGCCAGCCGCCGGCGAGGTGGGCCGCGTCGAGCCGTGCCAGAGCGAGGGAGCTCGCCGGCGCCGGATCCGGCCGGTGGCTCTCCGCTCACCGCGTCCCCGTGCTCTGTCCGCAGCCCTGGGCCGCGCCGAGCCGTGCCCGAGCGAGGGAACTCGCCGGCGCCGGATCTGGCCGGTGGCTCTCCGCTCACCGCGTCCCCGTGCTTTGCCCGCAGCCCTGGGCCGCGTCGAGCCGTGCCCGAGCGAGGGGGCTCGCCGGCGCCGGATCTGGCCGGTGGCTCTCCGCTCACCGCGTCCCCGTGCTCTGCCCGCAGCCCTGGGCCGCGTCGAGCCGTGCCCGAGCGAGGGAGCTCGCCGGCGCCGGATCTGGCCGGTGACTCTCCGCTCACCGCGTCCCCGTGCTCTGCCCGCAGCCCTGGGCCGCGTCGAGCCGTGCCCGGGCGAGGGAGCTTGCCGGCGCCGGATCTGGCCGGTGGCTCTCCGCTCACCGCGTCCCCGTGCTCTGCCCGCAGCCCTGGGCCGCGTCGAGCCGTGCCCGAGCGAGGGAGCTCGCCGGCGCCGGATCTGGCCGGTGACTCTCCGCTCATCGCGTCCCCGTGCTCTGCCCGCAGCCCTGGGCCGCGTCGAGCCGTGCCCGGGCGAGGGAGCTTGCCGGCGCCGGATCTGGCCGGTGGCTCTCCGCTCACCGCGTCCTCGTGCTCTGCCCGCAGCCCGTTCCTCTGTAACTCACGCAACGAGCTGGCGATGCTGTACAACGACCTGAGCGTGCTGGAGTCGCACCACGCCGCCTTCGCGTACAAGCTGACGCACTCGGACGAGCGAGTCAACATCTTCAAAAGTGAGCGTCTGTCTCGCTGAGTCGGCGCCCTGCTCAGTTACTGGCCATTGCATGAGGTGTTGTTCGTGTGTGATGTGACTGGGCGACACTGTCTATCAGCCAAGACCTGCGTGTATCCACCGTGCCGCTATTTGGCTCGGCATTTGAGGAATATGTGCGCTTTGCCGCTCACGAGGACCACAGGATCTTCCTGTACGCGTCTGATGCTCCCCGCCCGCTGAGGGAAGCGTGCGAGCGGCGCTGCCGGCGGTGTCCCGTGTCTCTAACGTGTGGCGGGGAACCGAAGCTGTGCCGCGCCGGCGGTCGCCTGCTCCCCCGCCCGCTGAGGGAAGCGTGCAAGCGGCGCTGCCGGCGGTGTCCCGTGTACCCTCTGACTGGTGACGGGGAACCGAGACCGTGCCGCGCCGGCGGCCACCTCCTCCCCGCCCGCTGAGGGAAGCGTGCAAGCGGCGCTGTCGGCGGTGTCCTGTGTCTCCTCTAACGTGTGACGGGGAACCGAGACCGTGCCGCGCCGGCGGCCGCCTCCTCCCCGCCCGCTAAGGGAGGCGTGCGAGCGGCGCGGCCGGCGGTGTCCTGTGCCCCCCCCCCCCCCCCCGACAGGCGGCAGGGAACCAAGACCGTGCCGCGCCCGGTGGCGACCTCCTCCCTGCCCGCTGACCGCCGGTGCGCCCGCCGCCAGACCTGGATGAGGCCCTGTACAAACGGACACGCCAGAGCATCATCGATATGGTGCTCGCCACCGAGATGAACAAACACTACGAGCACCTGTCCAAGTTCGTCAACGTGTTCAGCGCGCCTTCAGTGGCTGAGGACGAGGTGAGGCGGGGCGGGACCGGCTCGGCCAACCTCACTGGGGGATTCCGGGGGGCGGGCTGTCGTCCCGTCGCGTGTAACGTGTCCGCACCCGTCAGTGTTCGTGGCGGAGAAGCGCTGTGTAGAAGCGTGCGTCGGTGCCGTCGCTGCGGTCCGCTGGGCAGGGAGGCCTGTCAGCGCCCGCCCCGTCGCGCGCTCTGTCGGCGCGCGGGGGCCCCAACGCCCCTGCGCGTCGCGGCGGCGTCCGACGCCGGGTCTGGTCATGACCGGCTGGGCACGGAGGCCCGTCAGCGCCCGCCCCCGTCGCGTGCTCTGTCGGCGTGCGGGGGCCCCGACGCCCTTGCGCGTCGCGGCGGCGTCCGACGCCGAGTCTGGTCATGTCCGGCTGAAACCAAGTGCCGACCGTGACCCTGACCCCGACTCGGACCCTGGCGACCCTGAGCCTTGCCGTGACCTTAACCCTGACGTCCGGCCGCGGCCCACAGTCGACCGAGCTGGACATGACGCGGCTCTGCACGCCCGACAACATCGTGCTGATCAAGCGCATGCTCATCAAGTGCGCGGACGTGTCGAACCCGCTGCGGCCGCGTGACATGTGTGTGGAGTGGGCCAACCGGATAGCCGAGGAGTACTTCTCGCAGGTAATGACGGCCCGGCCACACTGGGCACGCTCGGCAGCTGCAGGCCACGTCACGTTTCGCCAGCGTGATGACGCAACGATTCATGTCACGTATCGAATAAATCGCCAGCGGAGGTAAATCACGTAAGCGAGGTGATATGAATGAAGCGTCCCTAAGGCGAGGGTGGAATGAATTCGTGTTGGAAATGGCGCCTCGAGACTGTTATGGTTGCAGCGACCTGTTGTTTTAACCAACCTTTGTACTCCTCCAAAGTACATTTCGCGTTTCTGTAAAGAAGAACGCCAACGAACAAACGGAAGTTTGTCAGAGTTTTTAACTACGGTTAATTGATACCGCCGTTCCGCAGACGGACTTGGAAAAGGAAAAGAACTTGCCAGTGGTGATGCCAATCTTCGACCGTGCGACTTGCTCGATACCCAAGTCGCAGAAAGGGTTCGTCGAGTTCTTCATCAACAGCATGTTCGAAGCATGGGACTGTAAGTGATATGGGCTTGTGTGGTGTCGTGCTCTTCTCGTGGTGCACTGTGAAGTAGTGTTAGGCGTACGTGATGACTCTTATGCGGAAACTGGCTAATCTCTGGGATGTCTACTTTGGTTTTCCCCCAAAGTAAACGTCGTGGTGCACGCGAAAAGGTGCCCTCGTGAATGGTCGTTTTCCCAGCTGTGCTTGCCACCGTGTCATCACGACCACGACTGATGGGTCGTCGCCCGGCCGGGGGCGACGCCGCGCCGTCCCCCGAGCCCAGCTGACGGCCGCCGCGCGCCGGCAGCGCTGATCGACATCCCGGAGCTGATCGACCTGCTGGAGGAGAACTACCAGTACTGGTGCGACCTGGAGCTGGCCGAGAGCCGCGGCGAGCCACTGCCGCCGGGCGACATCGCCGAGGAGGAGAGCGGCGCCGACTCGAGCCCGGCCGAGGAGGATCCGGCGCCCGTGCCGCGGCTCGAGCTGCCCGCCGGCGCCGACAGCCGGCCGTGACGCGGCGCCCCCGCGCGCCGCACTCCCGTACCTGGCGCGCCTCGCCGCGCCCGCCGCCGGGCCCATCGGCGGCGCCGGCTTGCCGCCCACACGCACACATCCCGCATCGTTCATGTCGGCTGCCCCGGGCGGGTCTCGTGCAGCCCCCACTCACGCCGGCGGTGGCCCTGGCGGCCCGCCGTGCGCCGGGTGGTCGGTGATACGCGTACTGCCTCAGCGCCAGCGCTCCAGGACCGGGCGCGGCGACGGGGCGCGACCGGACCCCGTCGCCGGCTGCCCTAGATGGCCCGTCTGCTCGCGGGCTGAGAGTGTTCTCGATATTGAATGGAGCGTCCGAGGCTGGTCCTCGCGCGGCCCCCGATGAGCTCACGTAGAACGTAGACCCTGGCGTAGTGATGACTATGTGCTATATCTTCCGCGAGACAACTGGGTGTTTAAGCCGCGTTGTTTGGACCTTGGTCGTGTTTGAACGTCGGTGTTTAAGGAGTCCAATGTGCCATCTATCGTGGCCAAAACGTAGATGTCTTCTGTCGGGAACGTTGTCGCATGCGTACGTGTATCACGTGTTTCCCCGGAACCCTGACCACCTGATCATTCATGACGGCAAATCTGCTGGAACTGATGTGCCTCAAGACGATTCTCCCGTTTTTCTCGGAATTATGTTCTCCCTTTATCCCAAAGGACGGATGGTCGTTTTCGTGTTTAGTGAGTGTGCTTCTTTCTGTGTACGACCCTGGCGCTGGAACTGTGGGCGTAGGAACAATACGGACCGCTGGGCCGTCAATGGCAGCTGTGTTACGTCGCGTGACAACGGGCCGGCACAATGTGCGCGTCCGCCGGGGTTTACGACAGACTAGGTAAGTTAAGTGTAAGGATTCCGATGTTGGGGAACGACGGGGCTGGAACCTCATGACTCGGGTGCTGCTGCCTCGCGCGCTGGCTAGACCGCGCGTAGCGCTCGAGAACTGTTGATCGTTGTTGATTCGCCGTCGGGCCGACCGCCGGCCGAAGGGGCGGCCCGCGCGCGGCGCCCTCGCCGGCCGCTCGGCTCCGTTGACCGTGCCGGGGAGGCGCCGGGCCGAGTGTGATATCGCCTCCTGCCTGCTGCTCCCTGTGTGCCCCGGCCCCGCAGCCGTACCTGCCTCCCCTCGCCAACACGTGTACCTTTTGTACGGCCGGCCGCCGCGCCTCAGGCGGCTCGGCCTCCGCCGCGCGCAGCTCCGGCCGACGACACCGGTCGCGCCGACAAATCTCTGTCAGAATTCAACATGTGATTATCGTTCATCAGCGTACCGTTTGTGGAGAATATATCTACATAATTCACGGAATGCGTGTGGCGCTGCTCCACTGTGAGCCGGCAGTCGACTACGGCGCCGACGGCCGTTTGGACGCGGCCCACCGAAATCGGGCCTAGACCTCCGCTCAGTCTGGCTTCCTCATGTTACGACCCTCATGTGCACCACCGAAAATTTTCAATTTGTGTGTTTAGCACGCGCTGGGCGGGAGCCATTTGGCTGGCGTCGCTGGGGATGCGAATAGGTGGTGGGCTCACGCGGTCGTCTGGTCCCACCTTTAGCTGGAGCCTCCGAACAAAAGCCAGATGTTCGAATGCTGTCCAAGCAGTCCAACGATGTCTGCTTTGCTCTTGAAGCCAGCCAGTGGCCATCCAGGTCTTTCTTTACAGGAAAGCGACGCACGTCATCGCACCCTTTTATGGAGCGCCAGCAAATGCAGAGACATATTAGCACCCAGGGCCATGGCGCAACCGGGGTTCGAACCCGGACTCCAACGTGGGAGCCGAAGGCCCTAATCACCTTGCCTTTACGTTCGAAAAGTCACCTGTACTTCTTGAGAGCAACGTCGTTTGACATGGATAAGGTCACTGACCTAGCGAATGTCATGTGCTTTACGGTAATAACGCTACGTTTCAAGCCAGAAAGCTCTCTTCTGGGAATAATTGGTGAAAACTGGTTTTGCCGTAAAAAATGGCTCAACATTCCGTTGACGTCACGGTCAGCGATCTGACATGAGCTGGGCCAAGTCGTCTTCCAAACAGGCGCAATTGGCATGTCTCCGATCATGCCCAAGCTCATCGCTCCGCCTCTTACTGTTTACCCGCGACCTCAAAAGCCCCGCTTAGAGGTGGCTTCCACCTGGCTCGCCTAGATCGGGGATATCACCTCCCCACATCCATCTCACCCTCCGGCGTGGGTGATGCCACCTCTTCCGGGGCTGCGGCGATGAAAGAGACGGAGCAGCGCTGCAGCCATCTGTGGTTATCCCCACGGTCAGGGGCAGGTCCAGAGGAGGGGGCACGGGGCCGTGCCCTCTTGGGCTCCGAAGGGGCCCATTGGCTCCGAGGGAGCCCGTCGCCGGCCGAACAGGTGCAGTTTTTTTTAACACAAAACGCAACAAAACTGGATGTTTCTGGTCTTTCAGACGACCGAGAACAGTTATAAGCAAAAGTGAAGGGCCTATGAGAAGCCAAAAAATTATTCCCGATGACTGGAAAAGTTGTGAACTGGAAATTGTAAGCCTCATTACACTGTCTAGGGGGCCCATACATACTGGGAGACCTATATGCCCACATGCAGGACCACTTCGATAGGTAAGGAGCATTCTACGTTGCCCCTTATTTCTTTGCATTTGCTCGGGGGGCCTGCGCTGTTGTTGGAGCCTTTCCTGCTAGCGCGCAGCGTAACTCTTTGTCAATCACGGGCCCTTCCACGTGTTCTTTCCATTTCTGTGGCTCTAAAAAAGCTCTGTGGGCTATAGCCGGTGTCCTATATCTTAACTTGCCGGAATATTCTCGGTCGCTCAGGGGCCTTTTACGTGGGTCTCAGTTCACCTACTGACACACTTGCGATATGCTCATGGGCCCTCTTCATTGGTCTAGGGTGCTTCCAATTCTCTGTCACTTGCTTAGGGCCCTGCACTCTTGTCGGGGGCCCATCTGATGGCCTGCTTGGGCATAACAGTCGTTCGAGGAGCCCTCACACTGGGTTTTGAGTACTTCTTTTCTTAATGGGGGCCCTACGCTTTGGAGGAGGGGGGCGGGGGGCTATCTGGCAACCTGCTCGGGCACATTCAATCGTTCGGGGGCCCTCCAGATTGGATGTTAGGCACGTGCTATTTAAATGGGGCCCTACGCACTAGTCGCGAGCCCCCTCTGTTCGCCTCCTCGGCCACACTAGATTGCTCAGGGGCCCCGACACATTGGTTGTGGCGTTCGAATTTAGGGCCCTCTGCTCCTATTGGGGTCATCTGATAACCTGTTCGGGTACACTCCATCTTTCGGGGGCCCTCCGCACCGGGTTTTGGGTGCATCTTATTTGAATGGAGGTCCTTACGCTCCTGTCGGGCCCCTTCAGATAAGATGCTCGGACCCATTCGATCGTGGGGGACCTCTACATGTGGTTTTAAGTACTTCCTTTTTGAATGGAGGGCCCTCCACGCTTTTCGGGGGCCCTATCTGTTAACCTGTTCTGGCGCACTCGATTATGCGTGGCCCTCCACATCGTGTCGTGGGTATTTCATATTTGAGCGGAAGGCCGTACGCTCTTGCCGGGGCCCTATCCGGTAACATGCGCGGGCACACTCGAATATCTGGGGGCCCCACCACATAGTGTCTAGGGCACTTCCCGTCTGAATGGACGGCCCTACGCACTTGTCGGGGACCCCACCTGTTCGCAGCTTCGGCCACGCTAAGTTGTCCAGGGCCCTGCCCATTGGGTCTTGGTGTTTGAATTTAGGGCGCTACAATCCCGTCTGAGCCACCTGATAATGTGCTCGGGTATACTCCATCTTTCGGGGGCCCTCCCCACTGGGTTTTGGGTACTTCTTATTTGAATGGAGGACCCTACGTTCTTCTTGGGCCCGTTCTGATAAGCTGCTCGGACACACTTTATCGTTCTGGGGCCATCCACATAAGTTATTCGGTGCTTCCCATTCGAGTGGAGAGCTCTACGCTCTTGTTAAGGGTCCTATTTGTTAACCTGCTCGGGCACACTCGATCATTCAGGGACGCCCTTCATTGGGTTTTGGGTACTTCCTACTTGAATGGAGGGCCCACGCTCTTGACGGGGGCCCTATTTGTTAACCTGCTCTGACGCACTCGATCGTTCAGAGCCCTACACATTGTGTCGTGGGTTTTTCTTTTTGAATGGATGGCCCTATGTTTTTAGCGGGTCCCGTCTGTTAAGCTGCTGGGGCCGGTGGCGGATGCAGGGGGGGGGGGGGACGGGACCATGCCCTATAGACCATGCCGAGGAGATCTAAAGGCTTCGAGGGGGTTCATAACCGGCCGGACGGACGCAGTTTTTACAACAAACTCAACTAAAATTGGAAATATTTGCGCCTGCAGACGACCAAGAACAATTGTTAGCAAAAGTAAAGAGTTCACGAGCAGACCAAGTTAATTTTTTGCTGATTGAGAAAGTGTTGCTTGGGGTAAATTTTGGAGCTCATTACGCTGTTGGTTTCCTGATCCTATATGTGAACTTGCCGGGTCGATCTGATCGCTAAGGAGTTTTCCACGTTGCCCTTAATCTCTGCATTTTCTCGTAGCGCCCAATGTGCTGTTGAGACGCTATCTGCTTCCATGCCTGAGCACTGTTGATCGATCAGGTTTACCTCTGCGGACTGTCCCAGTTCGCCCGAAAGCCTCTTTACGCTACGCTTTCCAGGCCCCATATGCCAGGGTACACTCAGTCGCTCAGCCGCCCTTCATTTAAGTCTCGGGCTCTTCCTGCTTGCTTGGAGGGCCTTGTGGTGTTGCTAGCGTTTTTATAAGGTAAGGCGCGGAGACACTCGTTGCTCAGGGGCCATCTATTTTGATGGAGGGCTCTCTCTCTTTGGTCTCATTTGCGGGGGACTCCTTACTCCTATCGAGGCTCGAGTTGTTAACCCACCCGCGCGCTCTTGATCGCACAGGGGTTATTGATTCATGGTCTTAGATAATTCTCCTTCGCTCAGGGGTTCTGTGCTCTGGCCGGGACTTTATATGTCAGCCTGCCGAGGCACTAACGGTCGTTCATGGGCCCACCACATTGGTCTTGGGTTCCTTTTGCTTGCTCTGCGGACCCTATACTTGTTGACGGGAGCCACTTTTTTGGCCTCCTGCGGCATCCATGATCGCTCAGGTTTCGTCCCTATTGGCCTTGGTGCCTTCGCCTCAGAGCAGCGGTCGAACATGCGCTGATTAATTTTTACGCGCAATTGCCGACCGTAATTTGACATGCCGCCGACGTCACATGTGTCATTTTCATTAGCTATTGAGTATGTGGCACTTATTATACTGGTGCATCATTATAAAAGAGGATAAATGTGCCCCTTTATAACAGAGGACAAATTCTGTACTGGTCATCAGCCATCAACTGATTACATCGCTCAGCCGGCTAGCCCTAAAAAACATAAGCTAGGAATCAAATCCATGCTTGGTTTGGATGGTTTTTAGCAGTTAACTTAAGTTTTTTTTGCCTGTTTTTCCGAAACACTTTGCCTCAAAATCACAGCATTTAACGTGATCTGCAGAAAGTGAGTCAGTTCTATGTGTATGCATGCGTAGCACGCGTAGGGTTATCAGGCACCTTATGAGGCCGTGCGCAGTACGATGGGTTTCCGTATTTATGAAATAAATGAATAAGCAAATGCATACATGCATATAAACCTATCTACGTATATATATATATATATATATATATATATATATATATATATATATATATATATATATATATATGAATATACACGTTACACACGACTTGTCTCAAAATGTGATGACCAAAATGCAAGGGTATTTTTTTGGAGGAGGGCTCCAAACTCCAGGGGACCCCACAATGTTGCGTGCCTCCCACCTCCCACCCTTGAAGAAATCCTGGATCCGTCCCTGCCCACGGTCGCTGCAGCCATTTAGGGCTATCCTCACGATCGCTGCAGGTGTCTGGGGTTATCCCCACGATCGCTGCAGCCATCCGAGATTATCCCCACGATCGCTGCAGCCATCTGGGTTTATCCCACGATCGCTGCAGCCATCTGTGGTTATCCCCACGATCGCTGCAGCCATTTGGGTTATCCCCAAGTGCTATCTAGAGGTTTTCCTCACGGTTGCTGCAGCCATCTGAGGTTGTCCCCACGATTGCTGCAGCCATCTGGGTTTATCCCACGATCGCTGCAGCTATCTGGGGTTATCCCCATGTGCTATATGGGGCTACCCCCACAATCGCTGCAGCCAACTGGGGTTATCCCCACGATCGCTGTAGCCATCTGGGGTTATCTCACGAGCGCTGTAGCCATCTGGGGTTATCCCACGATCGCTGTAGCTACCTGGGGTTATCCTGACAATCAAAATTTGCCCGCATGGGGATCCTACACCGGGAGCGCGCAGGTGCTGGGAGTGCGCGCCCAGCTGGCGACGCCGTCGGGCCGATCTGCGGTTGATGGCCGCAGCATGCCCCCGGCGGGACGAGGCGTTGTGAGTGGACGGGAAGAGATCGGGAATGATGAACACACAACAGAGAAAAAGGGCACGTGCAGATTCCTTGCGTAGGGAGCCAGAGCACACGGAAAGGGATCGGAACGCGACCATCAGATCATCTTAACCGTCCAGAGTCCAGAGAAGATAAGGGATGGTAATAACCGATGGGCATCGCGCCGCTGCGGTGGCAGACAATAGGAATGTAAGGGTCCGTAACGAAGGCGCCCTTGCATGACTCATCATAGCAATATCTGTTCTGATTTTTCATAAAATGGGGCACGTTGGCGTATGCTCATCTGTTAACGTAAAAGATAGCAGGCCACACAAGCCGAGGCGTCGCCGGCGAAATGACCTGAATGAACGGAGGGCCTCGCGCTACTCCTAGACTTATTGACGATACCACTCTTCCAACGGCTTGGGCCTAAAATCCTTGCTTTGACGTTCCAGAGTAGCAGCCCCCCCCCCCCTTCAGGAAGCAGGGTGGGCACCCGGCCGCGGAGTTCTGGCGACGTCGCCAAGCCCGCGGGCCGGCTGTGAGGTGTTCTGAGCTTTTCACTGAGGCATGCTGTTTCATAAATAAACTTGTATCGCCTACGAGTTTCTTGTTTCATTAGTTTCTTTTTAGCTTGACTTACAGCTTGCTGTTCCATTTTCATTTCGACCGACCGACTTGATCCTGGCTGAGCCGTAACACCCATCTGACCTCCCGTGATGGATGCGCACTGATTGCAGGCGTGCAACTTATGTAAGCGCTGCAATGTCGGCTGCGGCCGGGGAGAACCATCCCTACAGCTGCGGGGCCTCAGACCTGGCGAAAGATTCTTGCAGTGCCGCTAGTCTGGAGGTCAATCTTCGAAGCGTTCACTTCCACGGCTCTAGCTGCCTCGTGGCAGACGCCATGCGGGCGCCAACCCATGTGCGGGGTTCTCTCGCAGGCTATGGATTAATATTTCCGACCGAAATACCCCTAGGTACCCCCAAGAGGCATTACGATACTTCACAGATCTGACACCCAAGCGCGGAGACCAAATCTGGCTAAGGAGGCGGGGCCAAATATCAAACTTGCTTCCAACTACTATGATTTTGAACTAAATTCCTGATGACATTGGGGTTTTACGACGCCCTCAGATACTAAGGATATACAGCGTTTCCCAGACGGGCAGCTTAACCACAGCACTACCGGTACCAGAACAATTCCTGCGAAACGCCCAGCGCCTAATGTAAACGTCTTGGCTCAGGAAGGGGGAAGAGGGCCCGGTCCCTTGGCCCCATCCCTCAGCTACGTTCCCGCTTACACCTGTGTCATGGTGCGACCTTTCACCCCGGGTCTGTTTGAAATATCACTGTTCGAAGTTCGGGTCTCCTTACGTGTCGATTCTCAGAGCACACTACCAGGTGAGCGTTGGTTACAACGTTTGACGCCTACCTCCGCGCGTGCGCGTCCGCGTGTCCACGCGTTAATACAGCGCTACAAGGGCCCTCTAAATGCCACCTAACGTCACTGTGGGCCACCTTAGCGTCCCTACGGCTCACTTTAGCGCCACTGAAGGTCACCTTAGCGTTAAGCATCACCGGGTGACGTCAACGTCACCTCAATGTTACCAAGAGCCGCCTTCATGTCTTGAAGTGCCACCTAGCGCCACTAAGCGTCGGAGTGATGTCACTGTGGGTCACCTAACATCACTCAGCGCCTCTAAACGTCACCTAACATCATCTTAACGCTACTAAGGGTCACCTTAGCGCCACTATGCGCGTCTCTAGTCACATAAGCGTAACCAAGCGTCACCTTAACGTCATTAAGGGCAAACTTAACGTTACTCAGGGCCATTAAACGTCGCCTTGGCGTTCCTCCGCGTGACGAGGTGACCAGAGATAACTGTTGGCTACAATGCTCATATTTTACTTCGCGCATCTCCATGCGCATGACAAACGCCATTGCAGCGTTCATGGAGTTCACTAAGCGTTCGGGCACGCCCCCACCACCACCCTGTCACGTGTGCAGACAGCCCTTCAGCTCTGTCTCCGTCTCTTCCACAAACCCCGCCTCTTCTTGCAGATTGCACAGATTTGGTATGCCTGAACCATCACAGCGACAGCGATGGGATCGAAAATGATGCGTCGCCTCCATCCTCACGTCGCCGTGACAAACTGCATAGGAATAAGGTGCGCATCATTGCCAGGGTATTACAAACTGTGTGTAACCGCTGCCTCTCGGCGCCCGTGCTCCGACAACACAAAAGAACGTGCCTTGTACGCTTCTATATTCACACTGACGGCGTGGGGCGGTGCCGGTATTGCTCTGTGGCACCGCTTGCGCCCGTCACTACCGCGGGCCGATGCGGCAGACCACACACACTAGTCCGTTCCGAGACCGTCGGCGTCTCACTTTTTGCTCCACTCGGCCTTCTCACGGTTCTCCCTTCGCACTTCCTCCAGGTACGGCTTCAGGTACCGTTCGTCCTGCCAAACAGACGCACAAACGCATTAGTAGTTAGTCTACGGGTTGCCCACCCAACAAAACGGCAAAGGCTGTCAGTCGGCGCAGTGTCTGTGTTTCACTAACAACTTTACAGTCCGTTCACAGATTCGAGGTTAAGTTGACTTCGTTCCCACACCGCACAACCATTCAGCAAATGACGGCGCAGGGTACTGTATGTCTCTATGTCTACAGACGACTCATGATGTCCCTAAGCATTCCCACGAGTTATGCCAATCTAAACAACACACACACCGACGAACGCCCTCTGTACGCCAGACGTCGGTCCTGAGCGGCAGGCCAGCGGGACGACGCGCGGCCCACCTCGTCGTAGGAAGTCCACTGCTCCTTGGGCAGCAGGGCGTGCTGCAGTGACAGCTGCATGGCACGCTGGATGCGGAAGGTGCGGTCGTCCTGCAGCCGTTCGGGCAGCCGGCGCAGCGCTTCCTTCACCTCTTCGTCCTCGTACAGGCAGTCGTCGTGCCACAGGCCCAGCTTGTTGAAGCCGGACGCGTTGTACGCCCAGCGGCGTAGCCACGCCATCATGCTGCCGCCTGTCGGTGGGCGCGGCACTCAGGGGGAGCGGGGCTGCGCAGTCGACATGCGATACCATATCATGGCCACCATTGGTAGGCCCGGGACACAGGGGGGGGGGGGGAGCGGGGGCTGCGCAGTCGACATGCGATACCATATCATGGCCACCATTGGTAGGCCCGGGACACAGGGGGGGGGGGGGGGGGGGGGGAGCGGGGCCGCGCAGTCGACATGCGATACCACATAATGTCACCGCCCGTCGGTACGCGCAGCACTCGGGAGTGGGGCAGCACAGTCAACAGGCCAAAACACTTCATGCCACCGTTGTGGTAGGCCCCGGACACGGGGGGGGAGGGGTGAGGGGAGGGCTGCACAGTCAGACATCATGCTGCTGCCTGTCTGTGGGCATGGCACTCAAGGGGAGTGGGACTGCAGTCAGACAGGCGCCACCACCTCATGCCCCCGCCCGCCGGAAAGTGCAGCACTTAAAAGAAAGGACATGAAATTTAGAAACAAACATGTTTTCTTGTATTTTGGGGCTCTGTTTTGCCATTTTCTTTGCAAAGCCCCTTATTCTTGATTGCAAACCTAGACCCTTGCCATGTAGCATCAGCAGCTGAATACAATGTATGGCCTGAGACAGCAATCTTGAGATTATGGACATCCCTATTAGGCAAGATTACATCATCTCCTTAACATTTTTTTTTTTGCAGATCATTTAGTTGAACTTGTGTGCTGTCAACTACGCATAAAAGCATCACAACATAGTTAAAATTAAGCTTATGAGGTCTGTTGAACATGGTTGCATTTCTGGCATGTTTTAAGTTTGGCTGCCTTGTTAAGATAAGTACTAATATTGCTTGAAACATTTCTGGGTAGTTCGCAAGCCAGAAACAGCACATAAACACAGATAAACAACATGAACAACAAGAACAGACAGTTGTAACACACATAGATAGCATAAACAACAGTTCACTGTATTCTGATCAGCCAGTCGACAAAACACCCGATTTTGACAAGAACAACCTTGGTTGAACACTTCAAGTCTAGATTTGATATGCACTGGGCTGACATCATGTATGGCATGACATCCCACGCTGAATCTACTGATAATTTGAGACTGTTTGGTTACAGAACTGGGAGTCTGCGAAGACTGGGACCTACAAGCCTAGTGGTCTTTATAATTCCTGATCACCATATGGTAAGGTAAGGTGAGGTAAGGTAAGGACAGGTTTTGGAAACTCTGAGGCAGGACCTTTTCAGTTAGGGCAGCTCACATTATCTTACAGCAGCTCATGGTACTTTGGTGCAAGTAATGACTTGGGGCATGGATTGGGTGAAACCAGAAAACTTACCACAGTATGTAAAAAGCAAAGGTTGTAACAAGCCATAACAATTAAGGCTGCAGTGGTAGTGCAAAAAACAAACCAAATGTGTGATAAAAGTTGCCTTAATCACTGCCACATTATGCTGTATGATCCTGCATGTGGCTGCTCATGCTCCAGGATAAAGATCTTGGAAGATTTTCACTTATTCCAGCATTTGCTGCTGGAGATGAACAGGTAAACCCACCACAAGCAACCAGACACCAGATGCGCTAATAGCTGGCATGGCAACTCTGAAGCTATGTTTTTTCATTTATATTACAAAATATGTGATACAGTTTTGACCACTGTCAATGTAGTAGAACAAAAATGTAATGCAAATCAATGAACAATTAGCCTGGAGAGACTTCTACCATAATTAAGTGCAGCAATAGGGGTAATATGCAGTCAGCAGATACAAATAAGATCATCAAGAAAATATTCAAGATCATCAAACTGATCACAAGTGAGTCTACAAGAGATTTGGAGCAGGTCTGATCTGCCCCAATGGGGCATCCAACTTCTCTGCTTCAGGCAGGCCCAATAGGCTGACTGGGATAGGTGGCTGGTGCCTAAGAGTTTCCAAACGACCTAATTTGCATCTAATGACTATTACTGATTTCCAACCATACCTTGATTATGACAGTCCAAAATCACACTGAATTTGATGTCAAACATTTGACATTACATCTGCACTTTCCATATTTAAATGGCACAAAAATACATAAATCATTTCATGATACAAAAAAATCAGCTTCAGAGTAGCAATGCTGACCAAAGGCCTGTCTGCTATGCAGATATATGCAGCTAAATTACCTGTTGAGAACAGCAGATTTTTACTTGTGTAGACAAATTTGTTTAGGAGCTGCCCTTCCACTGCAGAAATGTCATTTCCTAACTTCTCACCTTGTGGTCAATAGGTGCAAAGGAGGTCCATTTACAGACCTTTTGCCCCAAGATTTCACATACGTAGACATTTCCAGTGTAAGTATACATTGGTACTGAATGTTAGAAAGATTCATTGTACATCATTCATCATGTTTAAGATGGAACATATTGTAAAAAATCCCAAAACAAGTAGATTCATGCTTCTACCCTCAAATTTTAATAACTACGATAGCGAGCTCCCGAGCACTGCACGCGCCTCACTGCCTTGACTCCCCGGCGCCATTTCTGCTTGTTGTTGTGTAATTACAATATTTCTGCTTATCAAGAACCATAAAAAATTTAGGGGACCAGGGTAACAATAATAATGCAATGCAAAACATTTATTATTGTGTCTAGGTATGTTTATGACATGGATGGGCCAGAACAGGCAAGAACATAGCCTAAACTAGCCTAACCTAACCTAACCCCCCCACCATATCCCTTCAACCCAGTGTCCCATTGGTATCCATATTCCATGCCATGCACATGTACCATATTAAGAAGTTTTGTTTAGCCTCCATATTCTCATTTTGCTTTTCATTCCCAAGCAAAAACATCATATTTCCCCACCATGTTGACTAATCTACATACAGTATGGAAGACTGCTTGGATATGCAAGAAACACACTTTATTGAATTCTTGTTACCTTGGTATCATAATTTTTATAGTTCTTGATGCACAGTAATGTTGTGATCATGCAGTAATGTTGCGATCGCACAGAGAAATGGCACCAGGGTCGTGGTTGCTGTGTGTTTGCGCTCAGATGTTCGCTACCATAGTTATTTAAGTTCCAAGGTAAGAGCTTAGATGACCTGTTTATGATTACTTGTGATATGTTCTGCCTTAGAAATGACAATTGATAAACAATGCTCTTTCTTAACGTGAGGTAGCAATGTATACGCCGACGTGATTTCCACCAGTTCTGTTCCATGAGTAATAACCATTCCTATCATCTAAAACACAGCATCATGGTGATACACAACTCAGAATATAAGCTCTAAATGTTTCTCATTATGTAACACGGACATGGGGAGCGCCTGCCAGATAAAAGAAAATCCTCTTCATGCATACAAAATCGGCGCAGCCATCCAGCCACGCTCACATAGTCCACAAGATAATTTAACCAAACTGTGCGACACACAACATTTACCTGGCACCTTTGTTGCAACTGAGGCCATAACTACAAGGGCCGAAAACACTCGCAGAGTATGCAGCCCCGGCTTCCGCAACCAGCGTAACGGAGAGATGCCCCTCCGGCCCCTTATATTTGGCAAGGATGGCTGAAAAGAAAAAAAGGCAGATCTCTATGAAAAAGCAAAACCAGCGTAGTCCTCTGGAGATGTAGGTAAAATAGGGTAATGGGTAAAATAGAAAAATACCAACCAAATGAAAAAATCAGAAGGGCTAAGTTTTGAGAACCACTACAATTTCGAACACCGGTAATCTGTTGTTGGTAAATTTGTTCCCAAACACCACTTAACTTTGCTCATCAAACAACTTCTGTCATTCGAACCTATTTTTCATGCTGATGACCAAGTAAAATCGTGTTGAGGGCCAGAATCTTTATACCAATACTGACTTGCAGCCTGGTCGCAATTACAAAGCCAACTTTGGATGTTCTGTCTTCCCTAGTCATTTGATCATCAGTGGTACTTGTAAAAATGACGCCTATTTGCCAATTTTCAGCCAGTCATAGCATTATGAAAATAAAATTGGTTACAATTTCCAATTAAAAAGCATGAAACAGCTTAAAACAATAGTTATTTGATATTAAAAAACGATCATCAAGATCATAGCCATATCAATGGTTAGGATGTCAGTGAATTAGTGGCTTGTGATCAGCCCCCACGATCAGCTGACATCTGCGCGTTCGCGTCGCCGTCCTCACGCCGGTTGATGGAAGGTGGGTAGCTGGGTGGCGATGTAAGGGGGTCGTTTGAAGGTTTTATGGATCATTTGGTATTATGATTAAAACGAGGAGTGAAGCAATGCCTGTTAAGCATTTATAAATGTCTGACGCAACTTCTGATGCCAAACTCCCGCGGTCTGCGTGCTGGATTTGGTATGTGTCACCAGGATGTGGGTTGAGGCGTGAATGAACACCGTGAACACTCCCCGGGGACCGTTGATCTGAGGGTTGTTTTCAATGTTGTGTCGTATTCTGATCAGAGAAAGGAGCTGATCACTGCTAGAAAACGAAGTACCATGTTCGCGATGTCATGAGCCACAGCAGACGGTGGTGCGTTAGCCTGTGACCCGGGCGTGCTGCACACACGGCCGGCCGGGTCACGCTGCACGCACACCAGTTGTCAGATTGCACGGCCGTGGTGCAAACACGTTGCAGCAAAGCTACAAATGCCGGCCCAGTGCGGCTGGCGCCGTGCGGAGTGGGTTAAGATCTGCAGACACCAAGCAGTGTACATCAAAACTAGTGGTGGGTGACACCAATACTGAGTAAGCTGCACATCAGAAATTTGTTATTATAGCTGCAGGCCTGCAGAGGTGAGGGCCTCAGAGTCATAGGGTGATTGGTGGATTTACTATTGGTACTTGGCTTATGCACCCTGAATGCCCTTTATAAATGTTTTGATAATCATAGTCTTGAGCCTCCCATAGTAAGAAAGCATGGATATTTTATCCATAAATGGGCATGGACTGGCTGCTGTGAGTCAAAGCATTTACCAGAGTTCACCAAAATTTGGCTGAGCCAGACCAGAGTTTATTCCTCTTAACACTTAGTGAAGTCAGTTAGCTTTTGGTCTGCTATCACATTCACATAGGTTTGACAACCACTGTGAGTCAGATGTGGGTCAGCTATCACTCTCACATGGGTATGAGAACTGATGTGGGTGGTCGGGGATGGTTACTTTAATTCAGGTTATTCTGACTATATAGATCAGCAGATTAGACTATTCTTGCTTTGATCATATAAAATAGAATAATGGAAATTGTCCCCATAAATATGTCATTGTGATTAGGAACATAATAAGAACTAGGGGATGTTTGATTAAGTATGTTATATGGCTGAGATAATTAAACATTTTTTCAGTTTCTATTTCATGGGTGGTGAAATTGGTCATCATTCACTACTCAGGGAAGTCCCTGGCCATTGTTATAAACAATTTACAATTGTCATTTTTTGAAATTGGTCATCATTCACTACTCAGGGAAGTCCCTGGCCATTGTTATAAACAATTTACAATCATCATTTTGTTGAAATTGTTCTCTCCTTGAACCTTCCAATGTTTCCATGGTCTACTCAGCACCTGGTTTCTGAATGGTTGACATCTGCTAATACTTGAATAGGTCAGCTGATGGCAGGGGTGCAGTTTCCTATTTACTTGGGGGTGAGGGAGAACTGGAAACCCCTTCCCCCAACAGATTGGGCCAAATTGATGGAAAATGCTTGTTCAGACATCTTGGAATTAGCTTTTGTTATTTTTCATAGCAAAGTATTCTTAACTCATTTTGTGTAACTAAATTTCTGGTTGTTGTATGTTGAAGCACCATCATGCATGGGAAGGTCCATTATTAGTTGTGCTCTTTGTGTTTTGGCATTCTGCTGCCCAAGTTCAATGCTGAACAGTGTGAAAAGTTAGCTGCATACTTTGAGGTGAGGCAAAGTTGAAGTTGACTCATCTGACCACTCAACTGGAATTCAACACTAGTGTTGCCATAACTGCTTGGACTTGCACAGCCATGAGCTGGTTCATTTGTGGCCATAAATGGAGCTAATGGGCCTGTGTATAACACAGGAAGAATTATGTGACTATCCATTACTAATGAACAAGGTGTAGCATGGAGCTCTCTTGAAACCAGGTTCAGTAGTGCTCCTGGAGTGCATACCTGAATAAGGATACTTCAGGTTATATTAAGTGCGCTAATGTTTTGCATTAAAAGTGTCCACATTGATAGATTATATATCTTCAAATTACAGGTGCAATTCATGTGAAGAATAAAAGTGTGATTTCCCCCACCCCACCCCACCCTCCAGCCGGTCTGGTTATACAATGGTTAAGGCACCCATAGACATTTTATACATGGAGGGGAATGGAGTGGGGGGTGGGGTGGGGAGTATTGATGGAACATGGGGGGGGGCGCCGGTAGTGTAGTGGTTAGCACAACTGCGTTATTCACTGCACATCTGGGAAACCAGAGGCACGGGGTTCGATTGCCCGCAGTGCCTGCCCTTCCTGCCAGGGTGAGAGGCAGGCGACACCATATAGCCTCAGGAGCTGAGTGCGTCGTCAAGCCCCAATGACACACACACACACACATACATGATGGAGCATGGCCAAACTGTCGCAAAGGGAAATGGCTCGAACAGCATGACACCAAGCTCAGGTGTGGTTGCAGGTTGTGCTAAAACCTTTCAACAGATGTTTGAAGGGCATAACTGCAGGTCAGGAGTTTCTTGCCCAGTGTACCCAGTGTGTAACCATGGGGAGGGAGGTTGAAAAAAGCATTGTCAAAATACGTCACGTACCTCGCGACGTTCCCTCGCGCGGGAGTGAGACTCCCTCATTACTTCGTTAAAACATTTATGTAAGAATTCAGCATGCTTGAGAGCATTTTGATAACTGCAATCAGGGTATAACATTCACGGTTTAAAACCCCTATCCCCTGATACACTTCGGTTATGCGGGTTCAAAAAACCTCCACATCTATGCGTTCCGTAATGGACGGGAACAGGCCAGACAAGAATGTCGTAGGTTTTAGCCTGTAGTTTCTGGACCGTTTTAGATTTGGGATCGACACCTGGACGTTGTTCTCAGTGAGCTTTCCTTATTGGTATCCTGAGTTTTAACAACTACTTTTTGTTACAGGAAATAAGTGATCGCCGGCACAGCCACTTCCAAATCATGTTCAGAATTCCCCGCCTGCTTAAGACCTGTGCTCGGATGGGTGGCGCCATTCGCAGCAGTGGTCTGTTGGGCACAGAGCCGGCCCCGCTACAGACTCCGCATCTCTCCGGGCACTGGCGTCAGCTGGCGTCCCAAGACACGGTCAAGTTCACGTTTGAGTTCCGGGATGGAGCCCGCCACGAGGTGGCGGTGAAGGAGGGCGAGAGCCTGCTGGACGTGGTGCTGGACCACGACGTGGACATCGACGGGTTTGGGGCGTGCGAGGGCACACTGGCCTGCTCCACCTGCCACCTGATCCTGCCGCCGGAGATCTACCAGACCATGTCCATGGAGATCTCCGACGAGGAGATGGACATGTTGGACCTGGCGTTCGGTCTTGAGGACACGTCCCGACTGGGCTGCCAGTGCATGGTCAACAAGGACTATGAGGGGGTCGTGATTAAGGTACCGGCGGGAGTTAACGACCAGCGGTGAGGACCAGTGCTCAACACATGGGAATGTGAATCGTTGGCGAGCCGCGGACTGGGCCAGGTCATGTCAGCTAGCTATCAAATGGGCGTGTTTTGTGGCGGCGCCACGGGTATCTTCTCATGGCCGTTCAACTTGTTACCGAGCATTTAGGAGACTCATAACTGTTTTATCGACTGTGTCGCCTGTTGTCATTTGGAGATTCTGCGGGCAGATGATTGCTAATGAATATACAGGAATGATTGTAAGTCTGTTTTGTGCCAGCCCTGTGTTTGAATCGCATGCATTTGTTTTTCAAGAGCTCAACCCGGAGATGCAGGGCGTCCGGTTACGTCAAAGTTGCGGACGGCGAAGACACCCAAATACTTTTAGCCATAGAAGGTTGCCTGGTGGGAGTGATTCGACAAAGAGGCTGTGGATTGATTAGATCTTGTGAATCGAGTATATATATATATATATATATATATATATATATATATATATATATATGTATGTATATAGTTACGATCAACTTATGAATCATCCCTTGACCAAACTGAGCGGCCACAACAGACACCACAACTGCCTCCTGCCAGTGTCCCCAGTGGTGATCCCAAAGCGGCTGTGCTCTCCCGTCCAGATGACAGCATACATATAATCATCCACAGAGATGTGCTTTTATTTCGGTTATTGCGCAGAGAGCGAACAATGACAAAACTAGTAATCGATCCCGCTGGGGACCCAACGGAACGCAGGCGTTAATGATCAGTGGCTCTGCCAGCCGGGCTGGCCAGCCGCGAGGGGGGTTGCGCGGGCCGGCGGCGACTCTAGCCGAGCTGGCCGCGTCGCATGGCGTTGCCGTACGTCCGGTCGTCCGTCTGTTCCGGCTCTAGCTTGATGCAGTCGTCGATGCGCAGGATGGTAATGGCCGCCTCCGTGGCGAACTTAAGCTGCTTCACCTTGGAGATGGCCGGCTCCAACACGCCGTGCTGCAGGTTGTCGCGCACGATGCCCTCGACCAGGTCAAGGCCGACGTGGCGCAGGGCCGCCCGCTCCGTCTGCGTCTGGCTGGCGTTGTGGTACGCTGCCGACGAAGGGGCGGGTCCGTCAGACGCGGCCGACATCCGACCGGCCGGCCGGCCGCGTCAGCACGGCCCGGCGAGCGGCGCCGTGTCAGCCCCAGCTCCGCGGAGGGCGACTGCTGCCCTGCCGCCGCCGCCGCCGCCGGCCCCGGCTCAGCTGGCATTCCAGCCGGCGCGACACCCCACCCCACCTGGGCAACACGAGCAAGTCGGCACATGACCGCGCAATTAACATATAAACCGACCAGGCTCTGTCCTCGGGACGCAAGCAACACAACCAGTAAATGCCAGCAAAATTGCGCTTGCGTGCAAGCTTGCGTAACCACAACGCAAGGCAAAGCGGTCAGTGACTGGCGCCGTGTCGCGAAGGTCGTGAATGCTTTGAGCCACCGGTAAGGGCGCGGGCGGGAACGGCCCATTACCTCTAAGCTTGGCCACTAAGTCTGTGGAATCCTGGGCGGCGTTGATGGCCAGTGTCTTGGGGATGACCAGCAACGAGTGGGCGAACTCGGCGATGGCCAGCTGCTCCCGAGAGCTCTGCAAGCGGCAGATAGCTCACACACATGGGACACTGGCCTGATGTCAAACTCATGTCACGCAACTGCAGCGGTGCCAGCGCGCTCCACTGACCCGTACCATGTGGTGGAGTGGCACCATGATCTTCATCACACTTCCGACTAACCCAGGAGTTAATCTGAATAACTCGCACGGAGTGAGAGCTCACTGAAAGATCAGCGCCGCCGACAAATCCCGACATGCTTCGCGCCCGTCCTGACGAAAGCGGATTACTTCAGATGCATTACAACACGAAACAAGTTGCCTAAGAAAAAGTGCGCCGCTGAATCATGCACCGCAAATGTGCTAGTTCACTTAGTGTTTCCAAAAGCGAAGCTGGGGAGACACATTAAGATCGTAACAAGTGTAGCACGAGCAAAAAGTGCACTTATATGAGAGTCACGCGGGACCAAAACAGCACCATCCGCTTGACTGAGAGCTCGCAATCCATTCGCAATCGCCAGCACGTGTTCTTGGTACCTGCGCCATCCATAGACCTGCGGTTGAACTGATCAGAGCTCTCCTGCTCTCAGAACTCTCAGAACTATTCCGAACTGTTCAAGCGCCAATCCGGCGTGCTGAGACCGCCGAGGGCGACCTCGGCGCCCGCCCGGTCGCCGGCCTCGCTCGACGCCGCCCGGGGCGCCACTCACCATTGACGTAGCGAAGTTCTCCAGGTAGATAGAGAGCGCCGTCTCGACGGCACCGCCCCCTACCACCAGCGACTTGGACTCGAGTACGCGTTGCACCACACAGAGGGCGTCGTGCACCGACCGCTCCATCTCGTCGCAGTAGAAGTCGTTCGGGCCGCGCAGGATGATGGAGGCGGCCGTCCTGGCCGTCGGCCTGAGGGCAGAAGGTCGCGGCCGCGTGAGCCGCGCGCGCGCAGGCCCCGTCACGACGCACGCGGCACGTCACGGGCGGCCGCGCTCGGTCCCGGCCGTGACGCGCCGACGCCGCGGGCCTCCTGGCCCGACCCGACTCGTCCGAGAACAGGCGAGGCCATCTGATCGCAGGCAATTCACCGTACAGTCAGAGAGACGGGAGCGCCGCCGAGTGGCTGCCTGGCTTCCGTGCCGCCCCCCCCCCCTCCCTCCCCCCGTGCGCCAGGTGGCGCCCCTCGCCGGCACGGCACTGCAAAGCCATCGGACCCGCGCTGCTCGCGCCAGGTTCCGGCTCCGGACGCCACGGAACGCGGCGCTCCGCGTGTTCCACCAAAGACACGCGATCTGAGAGAGGCCGCGTTAAATCCCACCCAGAGGAAGGCGCGCGGTCCCGCCAGTTCGTCCCCGTGGCGTCCAGCCCATGCAACAACGACCCGGGCCACGCCGGGCCGTTACTGCATGGAGAAATAGGGTGCTGCACCGGGGAACTCCTGTACGACTCACGTCGCCGCCCATCACGCTGAGCCGTCCCGATCGCGCCCATCGCGCTGGCAGGCGACCTGCCGGCGGCGGCGCCTCTCTCACATCAGAGCTGCCTCGTTCAGAGCCCCCTACAACCGACCACCGGACGCGAGCGGCCCGCCGCCGCGGTCAGAGCGGGCGGGGCACGGAGCACAGGCGCGGGGCGTGGATACGGTGCCGGCTGGCCTTGCCCTGCCCGTGTCTGAGGTGTTCCGCTGGCTCCGACTCGCGCCGGGGCAGCACGGGTCCGACCAATGCCGTCACCAACACGGACCTCACACCTTTGTATCGCCCGTGCCGCCGCATAACTTGCTGGTGAGCACCCCGGTGGAGGATTCGCTTCTCATCAGCCCATGTGGTCGCGCAATATCCACCGATTTATGGGACGTTGCACGTCAGGCCGCGGCCGCAACTCAGCTTACAGAACGTGCTTTTCGGGTTACGGCAGGCTTCGGCCACGCATGTCGTCCCGGCGCCGTCTCGCAAGCGCAGAGCTACCGCGGCCGCACCCGTCAGCCGGTCAGTCCCGGTCCGTCCCCACGCTGGCACTCCGCCCATCGGCGGCCGCACTCAACACCGTCCGTAACGTATGGCCTGATAGCGCGGGCACGGCGGGCACGGTGATGTGCCAGCGAGGCCGGACGGCTGGCGAAGAGAGCGTCATCCACGGAGTCGGCTCGGCCCACCAACAGCCCGCCCGGTCCCGGGTGACGAGCGAGGAGGGCGTCCCCCACGGAGTCGGCTCGGCCCACCAGCAGCCCGCCCGGTCCCGGGGGGCGAGCGAAAAAAGCGTCCTCCACGGAGTCGGCTCGGCCCACCAGCAGCCCGCCCGGTCCCGGGTGGCGAGCGAGGAGAGCGTCCTCCATGGAGTCGGCTCGGCCCACCAGCAGCCCGCCCGGTCCCGGGTGGCGAGCGAGGAGAGCGTCCTCCATGGAGTCGGCTCGGCCCACCAGCAGCCCGCCCGGTCCCGGGTGGCGAGCGAGGAGAGCGTCCTCCATGGAGTCGGCTCGGCCCACCAGCAGCCCGCCCGGTCCCGGGAGGCGAGCGAGGAGAGCGTCCTCCCGGGGCCGGCACGGCTGACCAGCAGCGCGCCCGGTCCCGTCGGCCTTTGTTAATGAACCTTGAGCCGCTCCGCCGATCCGATAAGCCATACGTAGATTAGCATTACAACATGGATGTGGAAGCTGCGACCAGGTGATTACCCCGCAAAACTCCCCACATTCAAATGAGCACGTGATTACTGGTCACGAAGGTATTTCGCATACATTTTCGCCGCACATTTGAAAATAGAAATGTTGGCGGCGATGTCAAAATGTCGCTTGGCAGCGAATCAATCTGAAGCACAGGACGCGAAATTGATGCATAAAAGGATTCAAGTTCAATTCTCGTCGGACTCCCAACTCAAGCCAGCATCCCCACCTGATATCACTTTGCTTGCAGCGCCGACTGAAAACACTCGAAGCGGTCTCTTCTTATCATCGCGCGCCATCTAAGGTGTTTGACTGCACTTAACGTTAGTTAGCTCACAAAACCGGCACACGGAACGAGTGCCACGCAGAGGCTGCTCGACCAGCCTCACCGAACGTGTTTCTCAACAATTTTGTCCACCCTGACTGAGAGTAATCCTTCGTATTAAATTTCTGGGTCACTTATCAAAGTCTGTGATTTGACCAGCACGGTAGTCGTCGTCAGCACTGAGGATTTACAACGCGCTTAGCCGCTGAGGCTATATGGCGTCACCTGCCTCTCACCCTGGCAGGAAAGGCGGGCACCGTGGGGAAACTAGCCCCGTGACTCTGACTTTCCAGACGTTTTTTCAGACGAAGACTCTACGAACTCCCTAGTGGGTTATCGAAATATCTGGTGCATGTAAAAGGAGACCTCAATTCGCTTGCTATTGACATTGGTGAACTAGCGGAACGTTACGTGAACACAGGAGCATGTGCCGCCCCCCCCCCCCTAGATGACAAACCAAGAAGACAAAAAATGCACCATCGTGCGCCTCACAAGACATCCCACCATAACCGTGAAGACGTTAGAAGTATTCCAGTTTTTGTGCGAGCAAAACATTTTAAACGTATTATTCAAGCAAAGCGTAAAATTGTGCTATTGCCTGCCTGGTCGAAACTTGGAAGTTTGTTGCACTACCATCAAAGCTGTGGTAGGCAAAATGTCATGTTGCAAACCGTAAACGTTCAGCTCACGCCCGAACTCATCCATGCTTATGCCCTCTTGGGACTTTGCTGCGACTTTTCGTTTTGTTGCAAACACAAGCTACTTCGTCGGTGCACGGGTATAAAAGGCGTCGAGAGGTACGCGATCCTCAGCTGTCCAGAACGGGTGGGCCTCGACTGCACCATTCCGCCCTCATCATCGCCTGCGGGCGTGCGGACAGCAGACCCGAGGGGGGCCTTCGACCGGGATCCCTCCCGGCCCGTCGACTGTCTCCGCCGGTCCCATGCCTGACTGCACCGCACCGCTGTGCGCCTCGGCCGGCCGCTGCGCCTGCTGCCAGAGGACGGCACGGGCTTCACAGAGCAGCGCAAACCTGCCCTGGCCCGCCGAGCGACACGAGCATGCAAATGCTCCAGTGCTCGAGACACAACATAGCCAAGATAGCCGTGGGCCAAAGCGCCTGCACTCTTCGGATACCTGATGTAGACCATTCTGGGGTCAAACACCGAGGCATGATCTGCGTGGCGTTTTGGGATGCGGCAACAGCTCTCAATAAAGCCATCGGTTGTCACACGGTGTGGACCGTGTACGATCATCTCCCGTTCTGTTACACTCAGCGTCGTATTTAGCAGACCTTGAACAAACGCCCGGCACTGATCGGTGTTTCGTCCGGCGTGTGTTGGCACGGCGACTTGCTTCTCGCAGGACGCCGAGCGTGCTGGAAATTGGTGCCACGAATAATCACTGCCCACCTTCGAAGAGATTTGATTGGCGTTTTGCAACACTCACAGTACACCTGATATTGCGCAGCTGTGCACGAAGCAGTCTGAGCCATAAGAGACATCAGTGAGACCAACGATACAAACAGAGTCGGCGCTTTCGTGCCCTTATTGAACATCTGAGACATTTCATTTGAATCGGGGTATGTTGCTACATAAATGCTACCTTCAGGGATATATACTTTCCGGGCTCTCAACTTCGCCAAATAAATTACACATTACTAAAAGCCAAACCACATGCCTAATAAGCAAGGATTGGACGTAAAACACCAAGCGCCGTTCTACCATCGCATCAGGGGTGTTGATTTGTAATTGGCCTGCAGGGCTCAGGCATGCCAATGCAGGTTTAGGCCTTACGGTGTTATTTTTGCACCTGTTTTGTTTTTTGCCGGAAGACTAGAAGAATTGAAGAGAACGTTAAATATCACATCATACATATCTTGTTTGGTCATTATTTGATGACCGTGACTACCATGCTGCTCAAATAAAGGGTTATTTTATAAATGACATCATTACAAAAAACCTTCATCCCCAAAAGTGGCCTAACTCCGTTAATAAACACAGCTTTGGAAAGTCAACCTTTCGAGATCTTGCCTTTGGCTCCAAAATGACGAAGTACATCACATTGTCGTCTATGAACAGGGCCACCCCTTTTTACCGAATTAATTGCTATAATTCACGGGCGCTTTCTTTGGGTGGGGCCTTACACCTCTTTCAAAGCGCCATGGTGGTCAATGTTGAGTCGGAACCCAGTAATTCGTCGAGTCCAACGCTAAAAAGCATGAGAGAAAGTCCGTGGGAGACCATGTGACTCTCTCCTTTCCAAATGAGGGTCTCGGTACCCAAATGTTTTTAGGAAGTTGTGTTCCTCAACGGGCGTTGTCAGTGACAGGGGGGGGGGGGGAGGATGGGTGCCCGGACCTTTATAAACTCTTGCGAGCTTATCTCGTAGGAGAGCGAGGGGACATGACGCGCCCCCCCCCCCCCCCCTCCTCCTCTGGACAGTATGCTCATTGTACCTTTTTGAATACCCATTGGAAACATTTTAATAGCAACTGAAGTTGTCCGGCGGTGGAGTTTCCTTTGCCAAATACCTCAGCGACTTCGCAAACGCTCCCTCCCAATTTGAGAACTTCCTGACCCACCAGTGGGTGGGTCAAGGAGTTCACAAATTCCTTAACAAGTTTGCAACCTTTTGAATTTTCAAATGTTGTGTATCATACATAAAAGTCCAGCATACCCGCTCGCAATCTTTGGACTCAAAGCACCCGCGCCCGGCGTCGCAGGACTGCCGCCGTAGTTAACACCAGGCCGGCGGACGGACCATACCGACCACTTACCTAAGCGTAGTGCTTTCGAACGCTTTATGAAATCAGCTCGTACCCAGCAAGCGTGCTGTGGGCCGTATATTTCAGCTGTGCAGTTTTGACACTGATACTTTGAACGGAGTACCAGTTACAGCACCGTAATCAATATTTCAGTGAGCACCGAGTCGTTAACGAGAACTAAGACCAACGGCGTACGCGGTATTCTTTCATATATTTATTACTATTATTCTTCTATCGTATATCTAGCAAGTTATCTAACACGATATTCCCAGCTGGCTCCGGAGACACGAACAATGGCCCTACCAGTCAAGGTAACTGACACCGGCTACGAAGTCAGCGTCCATTCCAGGGTGGTTCTAACTCTGTGGAACTTTGCGGAGTGTTACCCGAAAGAGCGTTCAAACCATTCCCCACACAACTGAACGTTCAAGCTGTTGAAATCCAATTCGATCTGAGTGGGAGTTGGCAAAGTCAAGCCGACTTCAACTCCGCATATGTTGCGTTGCTGGCTAGTCTGCAACGCGTGAATATTTTGATCAGCGACCATCAGCCGTGCAGGGCTGTTTTGACTCGTACATATGATAGCGCGCTTAGTCATGCCATTCTCGGTCCTCTTAGACCGTAGGAGACGTACCAGTAATGACCGGAATGGCGTGACTTGAGGTAAGACAGACGCCTCTCCAAATCTGAACATCAGCATTGACGTAATGGTAGAACCTCGAACTACGATACAGCTGGTGGAACTACGATACAGCTTGTGTTGCTGTGTGCCATGCCGTGCAACTGCTAATCCGATCCGAGTATTAGTCTGAAAATCGCACGGGCCAACAACGCCGCGGTCAACAGCTGCACCCTGCGACGAGGTAGGAAGAACCCAAGACCAATATGGAGGGCACCTGGCAATCGAGGGTGCCGGGACCACTCAACACATAGAGCCAACTGCGCTGAGTCCTCCGAACAAACCAGAAGAACCCAGAAGCAGCGTGGTAGGCCCCTGAGCGGTCAGGAGTGCTCCGGCGGGTTGACGTATAGGGCCCCGACCACGGCGTAGGGCCCTTGGAGCAAATGGGAAGAGCCTGAGGCCAAAGTAGAAGGCCCCTGAGCGATCGAGAGTAACCGGCAAGCCAACGTATAGGCCGCCGTCAACAGCGGAAGACCCCAGGACAGCGTGATGGATTCTAAAACATCTGCAACCATGAAGCCACCGATCAGGCAAGAGTTTTTGTCCGCTCGTGGGCCGTTTATTCGCTCATGGGCCTTTCTCGCTGTCGCTGTCTGTAGGCCCGAAGTCGCCCCAGTTCTTAACATCTTGTATGAACACCTGCATTGGCATCGAACCTGCATTCGGCCAGCGTCGGGCTCGGGGATGGGGATGGCATTACTTGCCCCTCTGCCCCCCCCCCCCCCCCCCCACTCCTCCTCCTTCAATCCCCCTCCGTCCCACTCCCAGGTCTGCTGCCCAGGGCTGCAGGAGTCAGGGGTTTATCACGATCCTTCACCAAACACATTCAATATGCCTAGCAGACACGCGTGACATACCGCGAGAGAAAAGCAGCACACAATTCAAGAGGAAACAACCGGCAGCAAACGGCCGGCTATGCAAATCAGCACATGCAAACTATGACACAGTCTGTACCCGGCTTGTGTTTATTATCCCGGGTCTCCACGAGGGTGCCGGACTGTGAGAACTGACCCGGGTGATCAGCCGCTAAGCGCAGAGCGCAGAGCGCAGAGCGCCGGCCCGGAGCCGCGGCCCGCACCGGCCCGGACCGGAATCGTCCGAATTATTCGGCCAGTTTCCCCCGGGTCGTTAGGATGAAGAGGCGCGACTGTTTTCCGTAATTTCCCGGCGCCAGCGTCGTTCTAGCTACCTGGGTTCGGCGGCCGGCCGTTAATCGCTCCCCTGGGCGCGCGCCGACGCTCCGGCTCCGTGGCCGGCTGGAAAGTGTGTCGGACATCGTAAAGCGAGCCACACAGTGTGCACGCGCACAGAACAAAAGCGCCGGAAACCGCTCGAAAGCGGCCGCCTGCGTATGGCCACCAGTGACGTCTTGTCCGTCAGCGGTCAGCGGTGGCGCCGACGAGGCACTGGCGGCGCTGGGTCGTGCGTGCGGGGGGTCGCGAAGTCGCGTTCCTCCTCCATCGGCCGCTTGTTCCCGCACGCGGCACGAGCACCCGCACCGGCTCCGGCCGCGCACGGCGCCCGCCGGCGGACGGACCCGTCACCACCGGCCAGGACGCCGGCGGCCCAGGGGCCGCGAGCAGGCACCGGCGCGTGGCGGGCGTCCGGCTCGGCTTCGTGCCGGCCGGAAACACCCGGGTCGGGTTGCAGAGCCTGAGCGCGCAGACAGCCGCTGCTTTACGACGGCGGGGCGGCAGCGGAGAACCGGACGAGGGCCGCGACGCCGCGCGCGCGCGCCCCGGGCTCGTGCTCGTAATCACAGGGCCGCGCGGAAACGTGTAATCCTGCCGTTCCCATGTGCTGATTTTCCCGACCGCTCCGGCCGCTCCGGCAGCACTATGCTGACGGAGGCATATACGGCCCTCTGGGCGCTCTGGCGTCCGTCACCGTCCTCCATCCAAAGGCGAAGGACCACAACAGCCTGACACGGCCTGGCGGACGGCGGCAGACGTGAATCACCATTACCTTGTGGCATATCCAGGCTGGCGGCGTTGGTGGTAGGCATTGCCTGACCGACCAAAGAGGGAACGGTATAACCAGTGGCGAATGAACGACAAAATTGATGAGAGCGCTACGGGTGGGATGGACGTTTAGCGGGTAGTTATCTTTTCGGTTATCAGTAGTATCGATACCTAGACGACCATGTTCAGTGGCGCTTAACAAGATACCCGTTTCTCGTTCCAAATTTGCCGTGACTCATGTCGAAAGCAGGTACAAAGGAAGACGTCCTGCACGGTTTGATATGCCTCACGCGATGGGAACTTCGGCGCAATCACTGCTCCACCAGGCTGAGAGGCTTCAAGGATGAGCATGCTCCGAATGCTGCGATAAAACCACACAATGAAGGCGACTGATCACGCGATAACCTGCAACGTAAGGAGAGCAATTTCCCCACCGCATTACATGCGCCATCCGGCCGGAGTTTCAGCAGGCGGACGCAGAGATGCGTCACCGCCGGCGAGCTGGCCGTGCGCTCGTCACCGGCGGACCTTTTCCGCTGGGACAGGCCGGAGACCCGGGGGCGTTCTTCCCAGCTGACGCCGCCGGGTGGGGGCGGGGCAGGGGAGGTCAGCCGGGGCCTGTCCCGGTCAGGAGGCCGTCTGGGCGCCGTGCTCCGAACCGCGCCTCAGGCCTCTTTGCGATGTGAACGGGGCCAATGTAATTTCTTGTTGCTTGGTTTTTCACACGGCAAGGCCAAATGG